AGCTTGGATAAAGCGTCTGCATGGGCATTCTCCTCCCGCGGGACGTGAACGAAAAAGATCTCTCCGAACCAAGCTCCCAGCTCTCGCACTCTTCGCACATACCCCTCCAGCGCCTCCTCTTTCACCTCGAAGACTCCGTTAAGTTGGTTGACGACGAGGGCGGAGTCGGACCTGATCTGAACTTTGTTGGCGCCAAGCTCTTTGGCCATACTCATGCCGGCGATAACCGCTTCGTATTCCGCGGCGTTGTTTGTTTCTAGTGTCGCAAACCGCAACGCGACTTCGTGCATCGCGCCGCCAGGGCTTATCATTACGATGCCTGCTCCAGCGCCGTTGCGGCTGACCGCCCCATCCACTTGCACCTGCCAATAGTCATCCGCGCCTTTCTCTGACTCTGCTACTCCCTCAGCTATGAAATCGGCTAAGACCTGTGCCTTTGTCGCTGGTCGGGGCGCATGCCGGATGTCAAACTCACTTAGCTGAACTGCCCATTTGACTAGGCGCCCAACCACATCCATTGACCCCAAAGTAGACTTCAACGGAAGGTTGGTGAGCACTACGATGGTGTGCGCCTGGAAGTAGGGCCTTAGTTTGGTTGCCGCCATCACCACTGCCAAGGCGGCCTTCTCTATAGGCGCATATCGTCTTTCATGGGCGACCATGGTGCGGCTGACGTAGTATACCGGCCTTTCTTTGCCAGAGTGGGCTTCCCTTGAGACGAGCACAGCACTTACTGAGACTTCCGAGACGGCGATGTAAAGATACAGCACCTCCCCTGCTTTGGGCGTCGTCATCACAGTTGGGGCGGCTAGGAGTTTCTTCAGTTCTTCGAACGCCGCATCGCACTCAGTAGTTCATTGAAAATGTACTGCCTTCTTGAGCGTCCGAAAGAAAGGGGCGGCCTTGTCCGCGGATCGGGGGATGAAACGCCCCAGGGCCGCCAACCTCCCTGCCAAGCCTTGCACTTCCTTGGGGGTCTTTGGTGAGGTCAGCTTGAGAATGGCGTCCACCTGCTTCGGGTTGGCCTCAATGCCCCGCTTGGTGATCATGAATCCCAAGAACTTTCCTGCTTCCGCACCGAATACGCACTTAAGTGGGTTGAGACGGAGCCTGTGCGCCCGCATGGTCTGGAATGTCTCCCGCAAGTCTTCCAGGTGATCTTCACGTCTTCGACTTTTGACTATCAAATCATCCACGTAGGCCTCCACGTTTCGACCAATTTGCTAACTGAAGACACTGTTGACCATCCTTTGATAGGTGGCGCCCGCGTTCTTCAGCCCAAAAGCCATGACCCGGTAGCAAAAGTTTCCGAAGGGCGTCATAAAGGCTGTCTTGGGCCGGTCTTCTTCAGCCATGGGGATTTGGTGGTACCCAGAGAACATGTCCACGAAGCTCAACATCTCATGGTACGCTGTGGAATCCACCAATTGATCTATTCGGGGCATCGGGTAGGCGTCCGTTGGGCACGCTCTATTGAGGCTTGTGTAGTCCACGCACATTCTCCAATCCCATGACGATTTCGGCACGAAGACCACATTCGATAGCCAAGTAACATAAGAGGTTTCTTCGACCAAGTTGGCTCCCATGAGCTTATCCACCTCAACCCTGAGTGCTGCCTCTTTCTCCGCCGATAGGTTTCTCCGCTTCTGCTGCACGGGGCGTTTACCTTCTTCGACCGCCAATCGATGTACGGCCGTCTCGGGGGTGACGCTCGGCATTTCTAGTGCACTCCAGGCGAAAAGTTCCGCGAACTCCCTCAGAAGTGCGATGATGCGCTCTTTCATTTCGTCGGGCGCCTCTGCCGATATTCTCACTTGCCTCTCTGGGCGTCCTTCGTCTAGCGCCACCATTAGCTCCTTGTCGGCCGCCTCGGCTCGGGGCGCTTCTTCTGCCACGGTTTCCATCACGTTGACTGCCTCAGGATACTTCCGCTTTCGTCCCGTTTCTTTCGCGTAACGCGGGACGCCCCGCCCCCGGGCGACACCTACTCCTTGCGGAGCGATGAACTTCAAGGTTTGATGACAAGTGGAGGCCACCCCATTGAATAAGGCCAGGAGGGGTCTTCCCAGGATTGCGTTGTATGGTGACGGGCAGTCCACTATCCCGAAATCGATGGCACGCGTCACCCTTTGTTCCTCATCTCCCAAGGTGACCGGCAGGCGCACTCGCCCTATTACTCTGGCGGGCGCCCCTGAAAAGTCGACTAACACCGACTTCGATGGTCTGATGAGCTCCGGCGATAGTTGCATGCGGACCACTGTATCCTTGAACAACACGTCCATCGAACTTCCCGTGTCTACGAGCATTCTTCTAACCTGGCACCCCGCCACCACTCCTTGTATCTCTAGTGCGTCCATGGATAGGAGCATGCACGCTTCCTCTGGCGCCCTGTTGAAGCTGATATCGATCGCCTCCTGTACGTCTGCCGATGCCGCTCTCAGACGGCGGTTCGCTTCTATTTTCTCCCTCAGGTCCACCGTCCCCGAAATAGCTTCGATGGTCAGGCGCACCCGTTCGGGCGCATTCTCTTGATCGAGGTCGTATGGCGGGGGTGGCAGCACTTTCCTTACTTTTTCCATACCGGCCACGCACGCCCGTTGCACTCTTTCGTCAGGCTTCTTGACGAAGTCGTTGAGCATCCCCTGTCAGCCAGGCCCTGCAACTCAGTCTTCAACTGATAACAGTCAGCTGTATGGTGTCCCACCTCTCGGTGAAAGTCACAATATCGATCCAAGTTCCGTTCGTTGGGCTGTCCCCTCATGGGGCCCGGCCACCTGATGTGATACCCCTTCTCCTTGACATGCTGGAGTATGTTTTTCAGTGTGTCGGTATACTCAGCAAAGGATCTTGTTCCCCTGGGCGCCGGGCGTCCGGCGTCCATTCTTCTTGGTGGGGGATTCGTGGGCGCGTACAACGTACCGCTAGGAGGGTGCTGCCTCCTTGTCATCTCCACCTCTTCCCCTCTCGTCTTCCGTCTATCTGCCCTCCTGGCTGCCAAAGTTTCTTCGAGCATGATCACCTTCTGCACCCTGTGATACAGATCTTCGGTGCACACAACGTCTCTTTTTGCCAGCGACCTGCACAACTCCTCGCTGGTGGTACATTCGTTCAGGCATACTCCCAATACCGACGGCTGCGCATCTTTCACCTCCAAGGCCACGGACAGCCACCTCTCATAAAACTCCCTCAACGCCTCTCCATCTCTCTGCTTGACCTTGAACAGGGCGCCTGTGGTCAGGGTGCGACGCTTCCTGCTGGCGAACTTTGCCAAAACATCTCCGCAAATTGCTCGAAGCACTCAATGCGTCCCTCTTCAATCTGGTAGTACCAATCGAGGACTACGCCCGCGAAAGTTGACGGGAACACTTTGCACAGGGTGGCGTCTGTACTGTTGTAGAGCTGCATTTTGGTGAAGTAACCGTTAAGGTGGTCCTCCGGATCTGCGGTCCCATCATAGGTGGGGAGTGGGGGAATGTTGGTCCCCGCTGGCTCCATTAGTATGTTACGCGCCAAAGGCTATTTCACGGGACCATGACGTGACAGGCGCCCCAAAATTCTTCCGTTCCATCCCCCTGCGTCTAGTGATGGCAATTTCAACCCGCCCCGCGGGTATTACCCGACCTGACTCGCGATGGGGCGGGGTAATACCCGACCCGCAGTAGCGTGGGGCGGGGCATGGGTATCTACTTCCGACCCGCCCTGCCCCACCCCGCCCCGTTCTAGACTCATTTTATCTCAATTTCTTACAATATCTATACATATTTCTCCTATTTTGACTTTTCTTCAACTAGTTAGAGTCGATCTTTCAACTTGTTAGGCTCAATTATCCATTCTATTATCAATATTTTTCATTCTTAAAGTGTTTTTCCTACGTTTTATTGTAAAAAGTAAAATTTACTTTTTTTTTCTGAAAAACATGTAAGAGTGGGTCGACCCGCCCCGCCCCGTACCCACGCGGGTTTTATTCGCCCCGACCCGTAGTAGCGTGGGGCGGGGCATGGGAATTGAGGTACCCGCCCCGCCCCATTGCCATCACTGGCTGCGTCCGGCCTTTCATGCTCTCGTGGGCGCCACAAACTGGGGCGCCTCTGGTATCCTGACTCACTCTCTGTCTCCGCCACCCTTTCTCTTTTCTTCGTTGGGCTGGGCGTCATCCCTCCAACCCTTTTTAGAGCGTCGACCTCCCTTCGAAGCGCCTCAATCGCTCCGTCTTGGTCTTCGATGATTCTAAACAGTTCCTTCTTCGTCACTGAGGCGCCTTCCGACTCTCGGAACATGCCATCGCTTTCCTCCCCTTCCTCTATCTCGGGCGTCAGCCTTCTTAACCGCTCCGACTGATCCTCCGTAATCTCCTCTCTTTCTCTCTCTTCATTCATTGACGTCTCCTCACTCATTACTTCCGGTTATATCCCTCTATCTGGCGCGCCAATTGTTTGTGCCACGATACCCGCCGATACTCCTGGAACTTCCCTTCGACTGGCGCCTGCCTACACACACGCACGAAGAGGATGGCGCCTGGGCCCGTTAATTCTCCGACGCCCAAGTTAGTTCCTTAGAGAGGGAAAAAGTCTCAAAGTAGGAATTCTAGTGAGAGAGTCCAACCTGTGTAAATGTTACCAACTGCCCCTATTTATACTCACCGAACCCGAGGTCGATCTCCTCCACGTCACCGTCCCCATTTAATGCTTTGTACTCTCTTTGTCAGATGTCTCAACTGCCTTGTCAGGCTTCTGACGCGTGACAGGCGCCCGCAGGCTAAGGACCACCTGACATGCTCTGTACTCTCTTTGTCCGATATCTCAACTACCTTGTCAGGCTTTTGACGCGTGAAAGGCGCCCGTAGGCTAAGGACCACCTGACAGCCTGGTCTCCCTTGACCTTTTGTCCTCATGCGCCCTTCCTCTTATTTGGGCCTTGAGGTATTTCTCAGAATCATTTTTGGGCCTTGCCCCCAATCCTGTTGCCTGGGGCCCAGATCCCTAGTTGATGGGTAGTACCCAACAATTTTAAAAAACATACCTTCCACATCCTGATGAATGAATCATCTCCGGTGCATTCAGGATAAACAAACAGAAAACACATTGGTCACTTACAGAAAAGGTTTTCTTCGATTACAAGTTTACAACCATGTTTCAGCCAAGGAATATACAAACCCATAAAAATTAATGTAAGTTTTACTGGTAAAGATGCAAAATTTCAAAGAACATGTAGAATTGGAGAGAGAGAACGTGTAGCCGGTACAAGCCTATGATGGTAGTAAGGAAAATCTCTAGAGTTTGGGTGAAAGTCAGAAGTTCTTAGTTAGCAGTTGGAATCCTCTGGCGCCTCTCGACGTAGGCTGATGGGAACCACCCTGATTTCCCTTTGCATTCTCCTTCTGACCACCCTGTTGGCATAACCTGTGAAGACAAACAATGAACGGAGAATTCATGAGCAAGTAGAAAATTATTTTTCTTCAGAATATCTCACGATAGACTACTTTGATTAATATGCTGACATTCCGTCACAATTCGACCAAATATGAAGATGACAACTGAATAGATCATCTCTTCCTTGTGGTTTTAATAAGATCATATCCTCCCAACCGGTCGAGGAAAAGTTTGAAAAGTTGAGAAACATAGATAAACACTAGTCTTTTCAGTGTCGGGACGACAAAGGCCACTCCACATGTTTCAGATGCCAAAATGCACAGTTAAAGCATGTCTAATGCTAGGCATAAACCACATGTATAATGCTAGGCATAAACCATTTCTTAAGATCAGATAATGAATAAACATCACCTTACGAACAACAATGAAATCGCCGACTGCCAAACTAAGCTCCTTGTCAGTTTCTGCGTAAAAGGGATGAGTTGCCTGCAAGGGATTGATCAGTCATTTTTTTAACCATCAGTCTGTTTGTTTGTGAGGCACAAAATGTTTACTTGAAGGTGTGCCCTTTTATACAATGCACAAGTCCAATAGTTCAACATCCTAAAGAAACCGAAATTGACATAGAACTTACTTCAGCCAGGAAGTACGTGGTCTTTTCTGAGCCGTTTTCTAATGGTGTTATAGTAGATGGTATGACAGGAGGAGCTGCCTCTCTTTGTTGTTTGTCTGAAACCATCTGCATGTAGAATAATGCCATTAAACCACAAGCCTTGGACTGCAAAATTATTTCATCAAAATAAATGAATCACTCAGCTCTACTCATAATCAGTCCAAAATGACTAACCTCAGTTTCAACCTCACTGAGTATGGCACCAAGTCGCAAGTGATAGTTCTTTTCCCCTTCAACCTAAATTCAAGGGATGCATGTAAATCTAAAATAACACAACTTGTTGGGGGGAAAATTCACGAAAGTGGCAGGAAGTAAGTGTACCAAAGAAACAAGCCTTTGGAAGGTCAATCTTTGCTGCTGTGCTTCAACTGCAGCTAATGCAGCTGACGCTTCTTTACCGAGAACTGCCATGTTTGCCTTCAGTTCTTGCATTTTTGCCTCTGCTGCATGCAACTTTGCAACGTTCTCAGGGATGGGGGATTCCCTGACTCGTGCTTGTCTTCTGGAAACTTCAGTAGCCTGTTTCGCTAATAATGATTGAGGTGAATAAAGAATGTATAGATGGCCAAAAGAGGTAGTATCATTATCAGACCTAAGCAAACTCATAGTAACTTAACAGTGCTCGATATCTGGTTACCTGTACTTCAGCTTCTTGTCTCATTCGACTATAACGTTGAGCAAGATGTCGGGCATCTTCTAAAGGAGCGCCAGTAATCATTGCCCTTATAGGATCCAAAACCTGAGATAAAAATATCAAAATTAGGCTCCCAACCTACCTAGTCAAACATGTCAAAGGATCATTATCTGCTAAACATAATCAACAGAACGCGTAAGGAAGCAACTAAAAAGGGTTAAACCTGAGAAGCAAGTAAGCCATTTAAATCCTCGGTCTCCTTTTCCACATGTTTACGAGCATCACCGTATATAGCTGCAGCTTTAGCCAGCATGGTGTCGCTAATGTTCTCAGTTCCATATCTGCAGCAATCCTCAGACAACTTGGTTCCTAACTACCAAGATCATGTCCAGTTAGTATGCATCCAAACAAATAAATGAACCAAGAGCAACCAAAACCAGCACCCACAAAAGCCACATCCATGGCCATTCAAATATGACAATAATATAATGGGCAATTCGACATTTACCTGCTTCGATATGCTTATATCCTATGGCAGTGAGTGCTTCTGCTGCTCTGACAATATCTTTTTGAAAATCCTGGACAAATAGAAAGTCAATTTGTGTTTGTGGAGCTTGGGAGTTTGGTAAATCAATCAATGATGAATGATAGTGGAAGGTTCAAAAATCAAAACTTACTCTCCCTGCTCGAGTCGTCCTGTAGAGCTTCTCCAGCTGCTGATGCCTCTGCAACTCGACCTCATCGATGACTACAGAATCCGAGCTCTCGTACCCACTTGCACTAAATTGCTTAATCACAGCCTAAAATCCAGTAGAACGAACCCATTACCAAACCAATCAAAATTCGAACTGCTACCAGAAAGCACACTCCCTCTAGGCCGCTATTCTTTCTTCCTAGCATTTTCTCGGGAAGCAAACGGGGGGGAAAAGGGAGAGTTAAGAGAAGTAGGGGTGAACTCACTTGCTGCTGCTTGGCAACTTGCTCCCTGAGCCTGCTGGCTTGCTTCCGAAACGCGTCCATTCCCGCGGTGGCTAGCAACGGCGAGGGAGATAAAGGACAAGGTTAAGAGTTGCAGAAATGGTGAGCAGGGGGTTTGAACTTGGGATCGCAAAAGCCGAAAGTCAGATCTAATGGCTTTGAACTTGGTGAGCAGGGGGTTTGAAGAAACACGAAAGGCGATGAACTGTAGCTTGAAATGAAGCCGCTATTAGAAACAAAAATTGAGATGGAAAAAAAAGGCAAAATACACTTGTGTAGCCAAAATTTTGACGGTTTGACCAAATATAGCCACTTTTGACGAAATACCAAAAATAGCCACTTCCGTCCAATTCTTTGACGGTGTCAAGTAACAGACTGACTGGACTAACGACATTGCTGAGTTGGCGACTGTTAAGTCAATTAAAAATATGAGGTGGAAAATAAAAATAAATAAAATAAATATTTTCATTTTCATTTTTCTCTCTCCCATCTCTCTTCTTCCCCATCCCTTCCCCTGTTCCCTAGTCGAAACTCTCGTTTTAATCAAACCCAGATCTGGGCGGCGGCACAAAAATAGTAGCAACAATGAGCTGGGCAACGAAGGTTACATAGGCTCGGCGACGACCACAGATTTTCAGAAGGCGGTGGCACGAGTCGAAGGTGATGGGATGCCTTTGTTCTGATAATGGTGCCGCTTTGGTTGATGCAGAGAACTGTATGAATAGACGGATTTCTGGATTGGAATGGTGATGGAGGATTGTTGCTGGGAATCTGCATGTCAACAACCCAATCTTCTCCTCTTCATCTTCGACATCCAAACCCGCCGCCATTGCAAGATCTTGAAGCTAGCAACAGAATTCAGCGATAGGGAGGATTTTTAAATTGGGGGTTTTTTGTTCGATTGAGTTCGTGATTTGGGGAATTTTGAAGAAGAGGAGATGAATTTGGGAAGAAGAAGAGAAGGGCAATGGAGCCGGAGTTTCACGCCCTCGTCCACAAATCAACCACCATCGTTGGAACTCGAATCGGGGGCAGCAAGTTTGCAATCGCAGAACTTCGACAGATTTAGAGATGGGAAATATCTGTCTCTGCTCCTCTCGATAGATTCGGCTCTGGATCTGGAATCGCACTCAACAAAACTGGATCTGCTTTTGCCTCGTCGGCGATATGATGATAGCTTCCATCTCCTTCCTCACATGTTGTTTCTTTAGTAGAAGAATAAAAGTAGAAAGAGAAGATAATTAGGTTATTCACTTGTTGGTTCAAACTTCAGACCAGAGAGAGGAGGGAGAATAGAATTGTGGATGATTATCTCCTGCAGAAACAAAAGAAAGAATGGAGAGAGTTTGGGTGCTTTGGGTCATTCTTTTTAATGCCTCGACGACAACGACGAGCCACGGAAGCTCGTCTTGTTGTACTATGAATCTTCGCATATCTCCGACTGCCGAATCTCCTGGCGACGGCAGCGACTTCTCCCTCCATCGATGGCGGCAATAGGTTTACGCAGGGAGGTGATGGCCTCAGAATCGGAGAGGCAGGCAAGAGGTTCAAGATCTGGAGGAGTGGTGGTGGGTTGTTGGGGGAGAAGAAGAGGGGTCTTGGAAGCAGATTAATGGTGATTGACGATGGGAGGAGGGGCGGTGAGTTGCTGGAGGAGAAGAAGAGAGTTCGAGGAGATTGGGTATAGATGGTTTTTTTTTTGTAAATGACGTGTCGTCCACCAGTCAATGAATGCTGAGGTGGAAACGAAAGTGAGGGTGAGCTGGCAGCCAGATCAGTGTTTCGTTTGTTTGACTAACGGTGTCACTAACGCCGTTAATTTATGTAACGAAAATGGCTATTATTGTCATCAAACTTTCAAAATTTTGGCTATTATTGGTATTTCTCCAAAAGTGGCTATTATTGTCACAAACGTCAAAGTTTTGGCTACACAGATGCATTTTGCCAAAAAAAAATGCCCATTCAACAAAAAAAAAAATCTCCAATTTTCACTCAGTTGAGCCAGGTCCATTCCTAAGCCTGTGATAGTACGAGATCCAAATTCAATGTTGGGCCTTCGCCCAGGCCCAAGACAGACGCTCTCAGAAGCTGTAAACCCAGTCGATATGGGCCGTATGCCTACGACCGATGTCGATTTATGGCGCGTTCACTTCCTGCGACGTGTTACGGACTTGCGGCGGGTTAATTCTGTGAATATTGTTTTTTTTTTAAATTTACCACGAATATAGTGGTTTTAAAACTATTTACAAGAATATTGTGTTTTTAGAAAGGAAGTTGGCGACGGCGCCCGAGACTCAGATATTCGAGTTTTAAAGGCTGTTGATAGCGACGGCGCCCCAGTCTCGAGCTTTGGCGCTTTCTGAAATTTCAAAAATTTTAAAAGGCGCCAAAGACTGAGACCTGGGCGCCGTCGCTATCAAGTTTATTTTTTTTTTACCCCCTTCCTCCCCCTCCCTCTCGCACCACACCAGACTCATCCCATCCCTCCCCTCTCCACTCCTCCCTCTCCATCCCAGCGGCGAGAACGAGCGGCGACGCCGAGAACCAGAGCGGCGACGCCGAGAACCAGAGCGGCGACGCCGAGAGAAAGGCGACAGAGCCCCAGTCCCAGGCGGCGGCGCGCGGCACAAGGCGAAGGCGCTCCATCTATAGCGGCGGCGCTATGTCGGACGACGAGCAGGCCCCCGGCGGCAGAGGAAGAGGCCGAGGCCAGCGTGGCGGCGGTGGCGGTGACGGCGGTGGCGGCGGCGGCGAACGTTACCGGAGTGAGTCCTGCCGGCGGCGATTTTTTTTCCGGCGACATTTTTTTTTTGTGTTCTAATATTTTTTTTTTCCAGTTCCTAGGCTTATCGATCCTTGTTCGATGAGACCACCACCTACGACAATCGATACTGCTCCGAATGATCCGGAACTTCTTTGGGGGCATGGTCACCATCGGATTGACGCAGTTTGGGAAAATGAGGTAAGTTTTTTAAATTAAATTATTTCTATAGTTTTTTTTATTAGCTGTATAATAGAAATAGAATAGAATAGAATAGAATAGAATTAAACTAAATTAAATTAGACGAATAGAATTAAATTAAGAATAGAATTAGATTAAATTAAGAATATTATATTAGAATAAGTTTAGTTTAGATATATAAATATAAATATTAGGTGAATTGAATTGAAGGAATTGAATTAATATAGTTTTGTGCATTAATTAATTATAGGCTGGTGATCGACCATACCACATTCGTCATACGGGCAATTTAGTTCGATACAATCCACTGTACCTGCCGTATCTCGTCGATGCCGGCTTGTCTAGTGTTCTGCCACTACTAGCCCCTCTTACCGGTGATCCGGGTTTGATTACTGCACTCGTAGAGCGTTGGAGACCCGAGACATCGACATTTCACATGCCGTTCGGTGAGGTGACGATCACCCTAGAGGACGTTGCGACACTCAACGGATTAGCGATCGACGGTGATGCCGTCATAGTAGACATACCAGACGAGGACTGGTCGGCTATGTGTCTTCGACTGTTAGGACAGGCTCCTACTGATCTTGGTGGCGGCGTCATCCGCGGATTACTTGGCTCAGGGAGACTGTCGATGAGCTACCGCTTTCTGCATCACCAGAGACGACAGAGCAGTATGCTAGAGCGTATGCGCTGTCTCTGATGGGAGGTGTCTTGTTCTCCGATCGGTCTGGAGGTTCAGTTCACCTGCAGTATCTACTTTTGGTAGAGGATTGGCGCAGAGCGGGGAGGTTTGCTTGGGGAGCAGCTGTGCTATCCTACTTGTACCGTGAGATGGGTAGATCGGCGCTGCAGATGACGGCATCTTCTTCACTGGGTGGTGACTTTGGTAGATGGGCCGCCTTGCTGATGATCTGGACCTAGCGGCGGCGCCCCAGACTGGAGCTTCGGCGCTTTCAACATATCAAAAAACACAATATTCCTGTAAATAGTTTTAAAACCACTATATTCGTGGTAAATTAAAAAAAAACAATATTCATGGAATTAACCCCCTTGCGGTGAGTTGTCCATAATTGCATACAGATTAGCCACACACACGGTCTATTAAAGACCAAGCAAATTAAAAGTGAAATCATCCACATCATAATCGCTATTAGTATTCATAGATCATAACGAAACTTTTTTAAGATCTCCTTGCCGACATAATAAGAAAGAGATTGGAAAGAAATCTTTTTATAGATTCACTCGTCACTCCACTCCTCATCACCAAAACCATTATAACAAATGATGAAGATGAGCATACGTGTCTTTTGCTAACTATGTTTTGTGGCGGAGAATGTACCAGATGCTAAATTTTGTTAAACAACTTCTTCTTTCGGATTCCAAAATTCAAACTCAGATGTCATCCAATATAACCAACTCCTCATATACTCCGATAAAAAATAAATAACTACACAATAAATAAAAGGCAAATGAGAAAACTTGAAGCCCCATTTCAAATTTCCTGCATCCAGAGTGAAAGTAGGAAGGATATTTTGGTCTTCACAATTACTTTTTTTTATTCATTAAAAAGACACTTACTAGGATTCGAACCATGACCATTTTAAAGAAAAACAAATATCATAACCAATCACACTAAGTACATTTGTTGTATTTTTTTAAATTAAAAACGTATAATTGCAGAGAGGAAAAAACTCTTCCCCCATTTAAAATTCTCTACTCCAGGAGCGTTTGTAGGAAGAGTAGAATAGAGAGTGTCAATTTTTTTCTTTTTCCTCTGTGGAACGGGCCAACTTACCGTACACATGCAGATTTAAATGGGTCCAGGAGTGTCAATTTTTTTCTTTAAGTCCTTTTATTTCTCCATGGTGGTAAAATATATATATATATATATATATATGAAAAGGCAAAATCAATACTCCTTTTTATTGCTAAAAAGAAAAAAATTAACAATAAACTAATGCATGGATTCTAATGGGCTAACCGCTAATCATAAAATAAAAGAGTTGAACGGGTCTGACCTACATGGGATTTGCCCATCAAGTAAAACAGATGAACATCATGGGTTTGCCATTCTAAAAGAAGCTATTTTCTCTAGCATAATATATACTATGCTATTATTTTATATCTTAGTGGCTAAAATATAATGTATTTTAAAGTTATTCAATGGTTCAACTTCGACCAACTCAATTAGTCCAATTTTTATCATTTCAAATATATATTATGTAATTATTTGATATCATAATGATTAAATTATAGTGTATATTATAGGGAATCGTTTGGTATTGTTAGTAAAAAAACTAAACAGAAAGATCTATTTGGTTATTTTTAATATTAAAACGTATCTAAACATTTTCAGTTTCCTTTCGAAATTCTATAGTTTTATTTCCGAATCAGTGATGTGCAAATGGTGAATTGCAGTCATCTCTTTTCTTTCATTATTTTTTATTTTCAAATATAAAGTTTAAAAGTAAAGAATAATTAGAGTTTGGCATGGGTCGGTCAAACAAGCTGAATTTCAAGTTTTGGCCCATTTTGATCAAGTCTAATTTATAATCACATGGTTCTCTGATACTCTATAAAAATCTCAATCCAAACCAGTTTGGCAGGTGAGTCCGTGTTTACCACCATTTTCTAGGGATACAGGAACGGTGGTTCCTATCCCAAATCGTGCTGTTCATTTTTTATTTCTTTAGATTTTATCATGGCTTGGCAAAAAACCAGAAAACACAATGATGAGAAGATGAAAGTTTTATAAAGCAAATTAATCGGCCAACGGGCCGAGTAAAAGCTAGCAACGATTGTGAGATGCTCATTTCCCGAAAATCGGCGGGATATGCGATTTTTTATTCGATTTTTTGGAATTCGGTTTCTATAAAATTTACTCCACCTCATCATATTACCAGAAACAATATTGTTTCACAAGGTAACATGTACTTGATTTTGGTTCATAAGGCTAATTTTTGATTCGTTGCATCATTCATGTCTCTTTTCTACTAAAATTCACTATTTTTATCACGTGTTTCCAAAAAAAAAAAAGAATTATACAACAATAAGCTATACACCCCATTACATTATCAAATTTCATACCTCATCTTCGTTCGGCCAAATGGCCGGGGCCCACGCTAGTGTCTTAAGAAAGAATAATGCAAGCCTTTTCTTTAACTATCTCTTTTTCCCCGGATTAGATAGCATCAAAACCCCTCTAGGGGTTATGAATTTCGCTTCATCATTCCCGCCGTGAATCCTCCTTCCTAATGATCGGGCGGCCGATAATCATCAAGGGCAAAAAGGAGAGGTGCCGCACTGGATCCGCTCGTCCACTCCATGTATGGTGTCACCCGATTTGAGATTTTGAAAGAGGAAAGATTTTCGGAGGCTAATCAACCACCTTCCCCGCAAAAAAAAATTGTTCGCCTGGCCAACCTCCCTCTCCCCTCCATCTACTCCGAAAACCCTAAAAAGAAAACATTGCAAAGTCGGCGATAAACATTGTCGCCGTTCTTCTTTCCCCTACATCAGCTCACCCGTTTCTCTGCTGGGTTCGAAGACTTGGTCGTTGAGAGTAGAGGTAAGTCTGTTCTATTTCCTCCACTCCTTTTTTCTTGATTCCGGTCGATTGAAGGTCCGCTCGATTGAATTTCCGTTGACTGGGTTGGAGTGGTTGTTTCCCAGATGCCTTCCCTCCTCTTCGTTTGTCGATTCCCAGCTGCCTTCCCTAATACTTCACTTTTCTTTTTCTTTCAGTGCATCCTTCCGTCGTCGATCATTCCTACTGCAGTTGAAAACATACAAGGTCATTTTTCTTTATCCCTGAAGTTTTTTATTTTTAATTGCAACGAAGGAACGAAACATGCAGCCCTTTCTTTCTTGTGTAGCTTGTTTGTTGTTTGTATAATCTAGTGGTACTTTGAATTGGTACCGTTGTGGTTGTGGTATTGATACCAGTTCTAGTGGTAGTGATAGATTGTTTTGTAGTGGTATATAGACACGTACCAGTAACGCTAGTAGTACATGTACAAGTACCACTAACGTAGTAGCGTTCCTTGTACCACTAACACTATTGGTACAAGTACAAGTACCACTAGTGATACATGTACCACTAACACTAGTTGTACGCATTCCCGATTCTATCTCTTTCGAATGTTTCATAGTGTTGGTATTGTAAGATTTAATTACAAATGTCTAACAATGTAGTTTTGTTATTTTGGTACCATGAATGGCGAGAACAAAGACTCCATGGTACAGGTCGACAATAGATAAACAACCGGCAGATAAAGAACCTGCTGGAAAACTGTCTGCTACCTATGCATCTCGACAGGTTGTCATTCGTGAAGGGGAGTCATCCGATTATGGTTCGGCCCCCGGCAAGAAACCGCAACGGGATGGGTTAATGAAGAGTCCCTCCGAGAAGAAGAAACAGAAAGTTGGAACATGTGCAAGCCGATTCGGGAAGAAGTGCAGCCCGAATTCAGTCATTGAAATGGTGGACGATAGTATTACGAAGGAAAGGAAGGCTATCCTTAAGAAGCTTGGTCTTGGATGTCTACTGAATTTGAAGATGAAGCGGTTTGCCATCACTTTGCTGGCTTGGATTGCTAAAAAAATTTTATGTGAATTCAATGTCCATGCTATTGGTTTATGTACGTTATAGGGTATGAACTAAGTTTGAGCAGTTTACTTGCTTTTTTAATGCAAACCATTTGTATTGGAGAAAACCCCTAATATTAATGTAGCACTTAATATGGTTTGTATTACAGCAATAGTTCTCATGCTTTTTCTAATTACACATGGATCAGTAGTGGTTCATGTACAAGTAGCTAATATTGGTAACTATCAGTGTTGCATGTACCAGTAACTAGTACTGGTAAGAACAAGAAACCACTAGTGGTACTACCAGTACCTGACTTAATATTTCTATTACACGTAATTATCAGTGGTACCAGTACCAGAAACTAGTTGTACCAGTACCAACATTAATATTTCCGTTACAAGCAATAACTAGTTGTACTAGTACCAGCAACTAGTAGTTGTACACGTACCAAGAAATAGTATTGGTACCTGTACCAGTAACTAGTAGTGGTACGTACATCATTACTAGTAGTGTTAGACAACAAAAGTATACAAATAACAAAACCACATTCGTATAAAGTAATATCGTTCACAAGGGACAAGTTTAACTGTATCATGTTCCAAATATGAAATGAAACATCTAACTAGAGAAACGACCAACAATATTTAATTTTTTCTTTTTTTCCTCTTTTTATTCAGCTCCTTGTTGAGTTGTTTTCTTGCCAACTCACTTGCTATCTCCCGACCTGGCATCAGCCTCTTCTTCTATCTTTTCTTGTCCTTCCGCTGCTTAATTTTTGTACCTAAAGAAGCTTGATCGGCAATGGGTTCCGAAATTGTCAAAGGGTCTTCGTCTATGTTTTCAACCCATTTATCTATTGTAACGACAGTTGATACCGCAGCTGTAATTTAAGAAAAACATCAGCGGTCACAATATAAATGTGCATGTGCTAGTGGAAATATACTATCTCTAGGTTACTACCACTAGAAAACGGCCACTTCATAAATACCACTATTATAGTACCACCACTAACGAACTACCATGAGCTAACTTGTGGTACCATTCTGTCTTGGCATTAGTTGTACCATTAAAATAAAAATACCAGTACAACAGAAGTCATAACTGCACTAGTAAACCCTACTGGGAACGTTGCCTCCAGCGATATTCTTCGTGCCGTCATCATTCTCTTCAACGTGCTTGACTACCTGAGGCTTGAAATTGTTGTTTTTCTCCACGTTGACGTTGTCCGTCGTTTCGTAGTTCTCCGACCATTCTTCGTTGAGCAGGTCCTCGACGTCCAAATCGCCGGCATCATCAAGCATGAAAACATCACCACCATTCTCCGCCACTTCAACTACCGCATCATCGTTACTTGTGTATGGGACGTTCGGTTCGAACCCAAAGAAACAAGGTTGTTCAGCTCCCACCCCATCTATGCCATCGTCGTGGCTCATGTATTCGTCCATTGTACACCGGTGGCAGCGGCTCAATATTTTCGGCGAAGTGACGCATACGGTTATGGAAGGGAAAGAATCCAAGAATGGAAAGGGAAGAGATGCGACAGTTATGGTTAGTGGAAATCTATCTCACAAATCACGATGCATTATATTTTCCCCTTACATTTATTGTTTATTTTCAAATTCACTCCAATAACCTAATTACACCAAAGCCCTTGTTGTTTTCTGAACCATCGGATGTGGAAGGAGAATCTACGGCTTAGAAGGGGGAAGCGAAAATCACAACCCTCATAGGGGAAGTGACACTATCCCTTCCCTTTTTTCCCCATGCTACATCTTTCAACAATTACTCATTACCCAAACATCACTCTCTATTCTAATCTGAGTCTTCAGAATTAGATAAATGAAAAAAAACATCTTTATAATATACAACTCTACTATAATGCTCCACAATCAAATGAGTCAAGGACTACTATAAGGCATCTCGCATGAGACATTCAGTTCACGAGACACCTCACCTCAGGCCTCCAACTTAGTCTAAGGTGATGTCTCGCTTGAGGCATCCAACTTATTCCAAGTGTTCAACCCGTAGGACACCTCACCAAATACGCCCAGACTTCTATAAAACGACATTCAAAATTGAAAACTCTCTTCCCTTCCCGCATTCACCACACACAATCCTCTCTAAACTCTATTCTTCCTTTTTACATACTACGTCTCATTTATCACATTAAATTGAGCATCGAGTTTATATTTCGGCGACCACCCCCTTCTCCACAGATCCATCCACTCCTAAACGAAGACGTCCTAATCATAACATCTCATCATTAGCATTATCAATCGTTGTTATTCAAAACACGAACAAACACAATCAATTAACACAACACACTTATCTCATGAATCACACACTCTCACTCTCTCAAAAAGATACATAAATAAATGGCAAAATCCAAGCCACACTCGCTAAATTCAACCCTCAACTCTTTCTTATTTTCCTCCAATCCATCATTATCATACTTTTTTTTCTAAAAAAGACAAATAAATAAATTAAATTATTAACAATAAATTTTAGTGATTGAAATCGAATTGAACCAAATAGAAATCCTCCCCCAATGACTTCCTTAGTCCTTCCTGTTCCTTTCCTTCTTCTTCCCGCTGAAGCAGTAATTTCACTGCCATAAAAACCCACTCACACTCGGTTTCCCCCGCAGACCGCACACGCTCTCCCCTTCTCCGCCACTTGCTCTTTAATTAACTCGCCCTTCCGTCCTATTCCACCGGTTTCCGTCCTCTCTCCACCCCGATTCCCACATCGCTACAAATCCAGATTCTCCCTCTTCTTTCACCGAATCACGTTTCTCTGGGGACTATAAACAAGGATATAGTCTTTTTCTGTTGGGTTTTTTCCTTACCCTGCTCTGCTTCACTGTCACGATTAGCTGGAATTGCGAGGCTCTTTGTCTTTGTGGGTGGCGGCTAGATTAGTGAGAGTGTGAGAGAGAAAAGGCATCTAGCGAGTGGGGTTTGAGATTTGGAGGAGGAGGAGCTGGCTGTGGGGACGCTCGAGGGAGGGGACGACAACAACGCCCACGATCTGTTTGGTTTTATTCCTCTTAGAAGAAGACTAGGGAGGTGGTTTTTTCGATTTTTGAGTGACAATCAATCATGCCATCAGGGGCGAAGAAGAGAAAAGCTGCTAAGAAAAAGAAGGAACAGCAGGCCTACCACCACCATCCCAATGGGAACAACCCACAAGGTCAGCCCTGGTTTTACTACCCTTTCTCTCTTTTTTATTCCAGCAAAAAGATCTACTAAATTTCGATCCATGCCCTTGTGTTGGGGTTGGGAAGGAGGAACCAATCAATCACTCCCCTTTCCACGCCTTGATTATCTGTCATCCAATCATACTTTCCGTCGCTGGCCTTTATATGTCGGCCCTTCTCTCTGTTAGTTGTTCGTGGCGGTGGATGAGCGGGTTCTGGGTTCCTTAGCCGGCCATTGCTCTGGGATTGTTGTGTTTTTTTGGGCTCGCCGGGTTTCTGTTCAATTCGGGGAAGATGGGTATTTGCTAGCAGCTTCCTTTGACTTGGTTTGATTGGGTGGTCTTGGGTGGTTTTGGCGAGGGTTTTTTATTAGGATAAGTGGGTAGTTGAAAAGTTGCTATCGTGCTAGATCTTAATACTGAATCTCTACTGGAGGGATGTGCGGAACTCTCCTGTCCTTGATTTCCGGCCATTCTTGATGTTCTCTGTTAGCGTATAGGGGTGCTTTATGTGTGAAGTACACTCCTCCGTCTGTTGCATATAACCCAATACTATTCGGACTTACTGGTGATTTTAAGTGCTTGGCTGTGATGAGTCTTTTTTAAATAACTTAGATTTGCCAATCATTGCTAGTACCAGGAAACTATGACCTAGTCTTTGGCATTGTCTTTTTATCTGTGTGATCTGAATAGAGGGTTCATGTTCTTGAATCGGATTCATCGTTGCTTTCTCCCTTGCCCGTGTATCAATCATGAGTACTATTACTTCAGGATAACTATAGTTTGGAAGTCCTTTGTTGCTCCTAATTTCTTGTCTTCTCAATTTAAATGAATGCAGGAAACGGTGATCAAAAAGTTGAAGATGAGAGGGACAGTGATATCTCTGAGTTGAATTCCCCAGGATCAGAAGGGAATCCTCATCATCAGGATACATTCAGGGAGGGCAATGGATTACCCGAAAAAACTGGGATTGCTGCTGAGAACCAAATTGCAGAGAATCCAAATGGAGAAGCTGGACCAAGTGATGAAGCTGGACACCATGATGATGTAGTGATTAAGAGGGAGGGAGATGAGAAGTCTTCTGATCAGGAAGTTAAGAGCCGTGAGGTTACCATTGAGCACATAGATTCTGGAAAGTCCTCTGATGGTGACAGAAGCTCAACTAGCAGCAGCAGTTCTTCTGATGATGAATCTTCAACAGTTCAGGATATGCATAAAGAAGTGGTGATACAAGTTTCTGAAGCACAACAGCAACCACCCAACGAAGTTATCACTGAGATGGAATCTGCTGAAGTTGTGAATCCTGCGGTTATTGAGATAGTGAAAGATCATGAGGTGAAGTTGCCCACATCTTATCAGTCTAATGAAGTGCTATTGCCTTCGGATTCTGGTAAAAATCAAGAAGTTTTCCCTACATCAGATCAGAATGTTGAGGTGATTGTGACTAGTAAAACTGTGAGTGAAGATAAAACAACAACATCATTAGGTTCTGCTACTGAAACCAGTATTCATCAGGATGCTTCTACTGAAACCGGTGTTGATGCGGTCTATGCTAAAGACACCAAGATTTCTGAATCAATCGAGAAACAGGTATGCCCAGTCTTATCAAAACGTCAAGTTTGTTCCTTTTATGTGGCACGAGGGGATTGGTGATTATTAGTTTTTTCTCTGCATCTTTTTTCTTTATGCAGCCTCTTGTGACCAACAATGCTCCACATTTAGCCCAACGAACCTCCTGGTTTAGCTGCTGTGGCTTATTGGATGCGGTTTCCAGTCCCGATCGGTGATGCCAGGTAAACTTACATCACAACACCACATTTGTTTTCCTGCGCAATGGTTGTTGTGGGTCTTATTTCCAATTTGCCTATTGTTGAATCGTTGAGCTATATCCTCTGTCTTGAAAAAAGATGTAAACTTGCCAGATGATTTATGAACTAATCCATGACCTTCCTCTCTTGTGGCCTTATGAACTAAAACAGAAAACAAGAACAGACACAGTAATTTGCATGCTTAGCTAGGTTGTATCCTATGGAATCTCCTCTCTAGCCATTTGAGAGAGGAAATGAATAATTAACAATTTGGAGTCTTTGACCTCTATAACTGCGTTCCCTTGAGTGGGTGGCACCGTCTCATTGTTTCATCTGATAATTCTTATTAGTATTGAAGTAGCAGATTCAAAGCTTTTAGTGTTAAAGTATGAGGATCATTCTCTAATCATTTACTTTGCTTGCAGACACAAAGCAGGATGAATCTTGGGCAGGCAATTGGGAAGATTTGTTCCAGCTAGGAGTTAAGTCTTTTTGCGAAAGGGAAAAGGAGGGTAAATGAATTTTCTGAATAAAGAACGAGGAACATATTATAGAGGGAAGCTTTTCATTTTGTTACAAGGTTTTAGAAAAATAGCTAGGTACTGCTTAGTTTTACCATACAGACTATGTCTTCCCTCCAAGGGTGTGCTCTGATTGTTCAGTGGTGTCAATAGAACAGAGTGTTTGTTGTATCTGCTTCGTTTATATGATTGTCATTGACGCTTGTTTCATCGTCGGAAATGGTACCATCTTTATCAGCTACTTGCCTCATTCGTTAGAAGGCAGCTGCAACTAGAGTTGTGCAAAGCTTTGGTTCACATTAGTCGATTTTGGCCAAATCAACTTTTGGATCGAATTGAATGGGGCCAGATTTTTGCTTTGTGGTGTTTGAAATCAGATAAACTCAGAAACTGGCCGAACAAGATAGAATGCGTGTTTGATTGTGTTCCAACTGATGCTAGCCAAGGTGACTATGGATCCTTGGCTTTCTTCGTGTTCAAGGTAGTAATAAAATTGTGCAGCAACCAATGGTGAAAGGGTATACGGGAACACAAATTCTCATTTTTATTTGTTTGATGCAAACTCCAAACACACCAGCTTTAATCACACAACAGAATGGAAAGTTGGAAACTCTCTATGCAAAAGAATACAGCCTTGAAAAGAATCCGGAAGAAGGAAATGAAATATATACTGAAACAAATAGACAGTCACTCTGAAAAAGAATTGAAAGAAAGGCACACCACCACACTCTAATTATAAGCATCTCCAGATTGCATTGGTTTTCATCTCCTGAGAGAAGCAGCACCGTGAATGGCTGCTATGTACAGCAATTGGGTCGCTGACAAGATGATCATAAACGCTTCCATGGTTCTCTGCAACAACAATGGAGATAAACTAAGCTCAACAGATGAACTAACTAACTAACTACAAAGGGAAGGAAGAATCTTTGATTATCCATGTCCTCACCAGACGGGCGTTCCTGACTTCGAGCTCGATTTGTTTGCAGGCGAAACTGCGAAAAACGGAGTAAAGCGTATGCCAAGTTTAGGATAGAGATGTGATTGACTGAAAGAGAGCTCTGGTGTTTCAATCAGCTTATGAGAAAAAAATATGAGTATTTACCCCATGGCGAGAAGAGTGAGAGTCCAGGCAATGGTTCCAGCAGAGGCAGCAGCAGGCAAGCTGTCAGAATTCCAGGCACGGATGTGGTTTAAGCCGGAGATTACTGAAGCGGCACCCACCACGCCGGCGATCAAAGCAAACGTGACGAAGAATCCCGTCGCAGCATTCCCCATTGGGAAGTAGATCGGCGAGAAATGAGCCGGAAGTTCGAACCCAGGTCCTGCAATAGTTCGCCAGTCAAGCTTTTGCTTAGCAGAAAAAGTATAAAAAAAAGACATCTCCATCGAAAATTGACTTACCAATGAGGAAGCCATGATCAATGGCTCTGTTCATGGCCCATCCGCCGATGCCCAATACGACCGCGTACATGCAGAAGTTGAGAACCAAAAGCAGGGATGCCACGGATTTCATTTGATCGTTCGCCATTGCTAAAATTTGGGTTGGAAAAGCGAAAAGGCTGGAGGAGGAGAGCAGCGAAGAATAGATCGAAGCACTCTGTTTTTCTCTCTGTCCTTCCATGGCGGCAAATGACCAATGATTTATAAATCGAGGGGTTCTGATTCTTTGCTTGTCAGAGACTGTTTGAAACCCACAACCTTTTTTGCTACTTGGGTTTTGTAATTCGTTCTAAAATCGTTGTAAAGCCCTTTGCTTTGTTGCTTGAACTTCAAGGCAATTCCGTCGTCTGAAGGCTGGAGATTCTTTCTTCAGCGATTACATCTTTCTCACAGCAAAAACCACAAGATTCCACAGGCTTTTCTTCGAGCTCTTGTTTTCCGATGGAAAAAAAGGTGAGATATTCTTTGCCAGATGGAAAAGGATCGCTTGCTTATTGGGGCGGCCGTTCTCTCGCCGGTGGTCGCCGGACCTACCCTGCCATCCCCGCCGGCCGAACTGTTCGAGCAAAACGCTGCGTTTTACGGGGAATCGACAATGCGTTCGATTGGCGTCCTTTGGAGCTGTTTAAATGGTTCTGCTTCTATCTCTTCTTCCGGAAGGGCCAGGATGACTAATTTCGCGCCAGATTTCGAAATCTCAACTCATTTGACGCCGAAAGATTGTGCTGTTGTGCAATTGCTACAGATTATAAGCTTCGCATTCAAGTCCAAAGTCATCTCTTTACTAGTGTAGTATGTTTTTTTAAAAGTGTTTCTGTTTTTTTGGTTTGGTTGGTCAATGTTGTTGATATTTATACTCTGTGGCGGATCCCGGATTCTTGAATAGGTGTGTCGGCTTATAAAATAATATATTGAATAAAAATAATTAGTAAAATTTATCATATCATTTACAACAAACCACGACGACTTTCATATCTTGAAAAGTTTGTAAAATATATTCATCGTCCGTATTGCAAATCAAAGATTTTTTTGGTATACACAACTAAACAATCATTCATAAATTGGTAATTCAATCAATTCCGAAGATTGTTCTTGATTACCTTCATAGCTAAAAAGGTCTTTGAAAACTTGTAGTTGCAATAGATAAAGTCATCACTAACTTCAGAACCAAATAAACTAAAGACAATATATATTTATATATTTTATTAACTATATAACAACAAATTTCTTGTAGAATAATAAAGGTGTGTCGCTTACAATTATTGAGGCGTGTCGAAAATCTCGAGTTTCAATTTTTTTGTACCATCGAAAGCATGGTCTCTCACAAAATTTTCGAGTTAAGGTGTATCAGGTGACACACCTTGCTCTAACTTGGGTCCGCCCCTGTTTATACTTGTAGTATTTCTTGTGTAGTCTGATTTGTGAAATTTGTGGTGTGTTTTGTCGTGTTTCTAGTATGTTTTGTAGTACTTTTGGTGTGATTTGTTTTGTCTTCTCCCTACTGTCGAACATATTCTAACGATTTGTGATTTTGCTTCATGAGATTTCTTGTATGTTCTAAGAGATTTGTGGTTTGTTTTCTTGTATTCTTTTTGTATGGTATGTTTCAAGCCTATATGGTTTGCTTCTAAGATTTGTGGCATGATTTCTCAAATTTTTTTCTTTGCTTTCACGTATTTCCCGTATGCTTGTAAGGTTTGTGGCATGTGTTTCTCATGTTTGTGGTATTCTTTTTAGTATTTTTAGTTTGCTTTCTAGTATTACTAATTTATTTTATTATATTTGTGTTGTGAATGTGTGACTCATCGGTTTATTTTATGATATTTGTGGTGTGAATAAGAAGATTTATGGTTCGTTTATAAGATGTTTGGTACACTAAAACATACTATAAATATGAGAATGCATGCCATAAATTGAATAATGCAAAAATTATATTGAGCTCTGTAATCAAGTACGTGGCAACATCTCATTGAGAATAACAACCTCAGCTTGCATAAAAATTGTCTATTTTGAGTCAAAATTTATTTTTCCGTTAAAAAATTTATATTCAATATTGGGTTTTGCTTTGGGTGCATAGGATGTGGAATCTTTTTCACATTTACAGCTTAGGAGTCTGTTTGTTGATTTTTATACCCATACGGATATGTATTCTTTATTTTTGCGTTCCACATTCAGTAGAGTAAGCTTTGCAATAAAATCAAAATCATTTATAATAAAAGCAATTTTTAAACTTCTAAGCACTAGCTAAAAGTGGTGGAGTCCCAACCAAGTAGGTGTTAGAGGCAAGATAAAACATTAGGAATAGTTGGGGAAAACATTGGTAGCTTCCTCAAACCTTCATTAAGAGATATGATAAGATGTTGTTTAGGAATAGTTGGGGAAAACATTAGCATTAAAAAAATTATTCGTCAAATAACAACCATATTAAAGCGAACAATACTTGACTTATTGATAATACCACTAATTTTGAACGTGAAAATTCCATAGAAACAGGTGCTTGCATCATAATCAAATAAATGAGGCTATGATTCTAATAAGCTGAAAAATCAAAAAAATTATCACTTTCACTAGTTAAAAGCAGTAGTGCAATGAACTTATAGTAGGGAAATAAGGAGTCCGTCCCATTCTATCTTTCAAGTAGTCATCAATCTCAAAGATTAGTCAAACCATTGCTCAATTTGACCATGTAAATTTGAAACATTTGAATTAAGAATTAAGATACTCCATTTTTTACCCCTTCCACAGGCTACACTCAAAATAATTTTTACAGGAAAGAATTGATGTAAAAGAAATTAGCAAAACAAAGACAAGGCTCCCATATTTTTTAGTAGAAGAACCAAGGAAAGGGTTGTCAGCCTGTCAACTACGCTCAACAAATTAACTATTAAAGTATGCCCAAAAGACAATAAATAAATAAAAAATATAGAGTCAGGCGACTAGTCTCACCATATCGAGCAATGGCATTGCTCCCAAGAATAGCATGTTTATGTGTTTGAAGGGTTGATTCTGAACCCTATACACCAATTGGAATTGAGACATAAATTTGATTACTTGTTGAGCCTACGCTATCACACACGTCATTCGTCGATGGTGTATCAGCACAACCACTGGTTAGAAATACAAGCAACCCGATGACTCATCCAAAGACGAAGCGGCATTAAACAGATGATCCTTGAGCGACGATCGTTTATAATTGTCGACTATATCAAAATCTTCGTCTTCGATGGACCCGAATTCGGAATAAGGATAGCGGGATCTAGATTTGGAGTAGTTGAGATGGTGGAGGGATCTAGGTTTGGAGAAGTCTGTTATAGTATGCAGTCACCACCTTCACCTTCTATCAACCTTGAGCTTCTTGTTTTTTCAAAATAAATGGTGATCCTCAAAACTCGCACTAATGAATACATGCCGATTGAAACTCTCCCACAACCCTCGAGCCTGGTTGTCTAAGGAAGAAGTTGTTCAAAGAAGAGAAGGCAAGAGGAGGAACCATAAATTGGATTTCAAAGCAGACTATGAAAGTCATAATCCCGTATTGTCAAGATTAAAAACGAGCAAGTGAAATACAAATAAAATATTTCACTCTACAAGTTCAAAATTTTCGAAAGGTTGTTTGCAGAGTTTTCACTTGCATTATGAGCGAATGGGATATATTACATATATTTCCCTCTAGCTTTCCCTTTCTCATCTACTCTCTTTCGTATATTCACTATCGTTTGTGGTAGCAAAGTCAAATCTTCATTGTAAAAAGGTACAAATTAATTTCTTCCAATATCTCAATTATAATATAAAAAAAACAAGCAAATCAACATTCAATGATCAGTCTGATGAAATAAGAAAATTTCATGAAAGCCTAGCTTCTTTATTCATGTAGTATGCATATCTTGTATTACGTATATATTAACCATTTAGTTCAACCAACGCATATTTTTCACACGAATTTTATTTTAAGAAACATGTTTATCAAAATGTTACTTCATATGCATTTCAAAAGACTACTTAACAAGAAAACATGTTTTTTACCCGATATGATACAACACTTTTTCATGTCTAAATGTGAAATGAATTGAATTTATGAATTAGTAAATTTGATTGACGAATTTATGAATTAAATGAACTGATCAATTGAATTATAGATCTGAATAACATATAAACAATTAGATGATCATCTAAACATTTGACTAATACAAAAACGTTTGAGTATGATCTAGTACCAAAATATAATTCACAATTTATTGAATTTGGAATAACTAGATTGAAATTAATGAATTTGATGAAGTTAATTGAATTAGCTTAATTGAACATTATAGTGAAGGATTTATAGATTATATACAAATTGGCCACAATTACCTATTTTACCTCTAGCCACTCAAATATGTGATAGTCTTACCTGAATCTTCATATATTAACATATGACATGCATTTACCTGACCAGAAAATAGAAAAGCACGATTTGCAAAACTTCATACAACTTTCCAAAGTGTACCTCTTTGATAACCAAGAGTAACGGATTAAAACTATCCCATACAGAGAAACTAGCAATAGAGTCGGTAGCAAATCTCCTCAAGTACAAACTCAACAAACTCAGATTCCACTAATTATAACCCAGTTCACTCATCCTCCTGGCTGCGCAGCCTGGCCAGCTTGTTGGTGACAACAACATCGAGCTGAGCAGCTCGCTCCACAATCTCTTTCCTCTTCTTGGTTGACACATCATGTGCAATCTCAGCACAGTAAGTCCTGTTGTGCATCATCAACACTTCGAGCTCCTTCACGTTGTGGACAACGAACTTCTTGAAGCCATTGGGAAGGTAGTGCCTAGTCTTCTTGTCTGAACCGTAACCAATGTTGGGCATCAAGGTAACTCCCTTGAACTTTCTGCGAACCCTGGAATCGATACCCTTTGGCCTACGCCAGTTCTCCTACAAGAATAAAGAGCAGAAAAGATTAACACTGTATCATGATACAAGAATGAAAGGTAAACTTCCTAACAATAAACAAACCAAGAGTAAATGACAGGAAAACTCAGTAAAACGAGTTAAATAGCATAAAGCCAGCATGTGAGCAGAAAATAAGTAACAGAAAGCCTGTGAAGAAACCAGCTAACCGTGTCGCAACTGCCCACTAATTTCTTTATGCCCGGAAAAAACGAAATGACCAGATACGCAAAAAAAACTCTGGACATCAGATACCATGGGCAAAAGTAAAATGGACCAAGACTTCCACAGTTCCAAAGCCAATATCTATTGTATTTACTAAGAGAATAAACGAATTGCAACCTCAGCCGAAAGATGGTGAATATTTAAATGAATCATCACATATAAATCAGTGATTGATGGAAAATTTGCATCACGGATTGCAAGGACTCAACAAACAATATCAAAAGTGAAACTTAGTTGAAAAGCTGGGAGAAAACAGAAATATATGCAACAGAGATCAGATGGTAGTGCATGTTTTGTTCATCATCCAATAACAGAAAAGGTGGATAGGTATCCTCACATCTCCTTGCATACACTTCACAAAATTAAAACCAAAAATGAAACTTTTCAAAACCAGCTGAATCAAAACGTAAAGAAAGAGCTAATCTGTAATAAGGGATCAGTTAACAGTTGTGTTCCTCTCCAGTTTCCATAAGGAAGTAAGACTGGGTGTCAAACAATATTCATCACATCCCATACTATAATCATACCCTCCAAACTCAAAGAACCCCCGACCAAAAACATAAAAGGAGTTCTTAAAAATCCATCTAGACATGAAATCTAGAAACTAAGTCATTGCAATGAAGTAAGAAGTTCAATCTCTAGCTCACCATATTGCATCCAAGAAGAAGCAAGTGAGACTGGGTGTCAAGATGCTACCATCATATTCAATTATAAACACCACAGGCCCAATTACATACACAACAATGAAGATTCAAACACCAGACGAATGTACGAAGACGCAGAGAACCTAGAAAGAAAACATCGATTCAACTAAGATCTTGAGAATCAGATAGATATGTCAATCACCACCTCGCATATCAAGACGCGAGTAAGACTGGGGCGACAATAGTTCAATCATCATTTTCCACACCGAGGATCTCTACAGAACCTCCGAGCGTGACTAGATCTCAGCCATTAAAAACCCTAGGCCTTAAACAAGAACTGAAACAGTATATATACCTTGACGGTGATCCTCCTGTCACACTGGGGCCTCTTGAACTTCTTGACCCTCTTCTTGATGATCTTCTTCGTCAGCAATGGAACCGCCATTTTCGCTCACCTCTTTTTTGACCTTCTGCAGCCAGAAACCGAATTACACAAATGAATCAGCATACATAGATACTGGAAAACAACATCAAGATGGCGATACTGAACCAGGGGAAATCAAATCGAAGAAGATGAAGGATGAAGCTCACCGTGGAGGATTCCCTTAGCCGCCGAGGGTTCGGAGTGTTAGAAATTGGGGAATGTAGTTCTATCGATATTTATAAGCTGGAGGTTCTCGGTAGCATTAGGGTTTTTGGCCGGTGGAGGGTCCAACTTAGGTTAACAAGATCATATGGCCGGATCAACGGCCGAGAATACCGGAGGAAGTTTAAGCTCTGAGATCTGCCGCCCGTTATGAGCTGGGCCTTAACAGTCTTAAAGCTAATTGGGCTATTCTGAAATATAAGCAACGGTGGACCTAGCATGCCAACTGGCCCATTATGTGATGCATGCTCAATATTTATCACTTGATTCACTTCATTTCATTGAGTTTTATTTATTATTTATGCCTTAGTTATTGTGTTAATCAATTCATCCATTGCTTCAATTGTTTATTTTTTTATTCTTTTATATTATTTTAATTCACTTTTGGAAATTCGCAAATGCAATGTATACTTTATGAGAAGTTGGTTCGTTATTGCATATTTTTCAACTAAACACGGCACATTAACTCTTTAAGTCGATTATATTGTATTCGTCATATGTCATACATTACCTGGGTTTGTTAGTTTTTGCGGGCTCGCTTCACCGATATCGTCTATCCACAAGTAGAAGGGGAAAAAAACTATGTCTCATTACTTTTGTCGAACAACGAGTAGAAGTTAGGAATTCCGATCAAGTCATTTAGAAAGTGCTCCCTATACAGTCATGCTTGTTAGGATTCTTTCAACAAGATCCTATGATATTATATCATTCAAATTTCAAAAAAAGTTGCCCAAAAGGTTTCACAAAAAAACACCCTCTCAACTTGATATGATCCCAAATGGTCCATTATACACGTTTAATTTACTTGACGAAGAAGCTATTAAAGTTGGGAAGAAGAAGGGCAGAATTTGGCTAAGTCAAAATCCGTGTTCAGGGTACATACTTTGGAGGCATGGTTCTCTCAATTGGCTTGGTGGAAATTCCAGTTCAAGGGCTTGTTTTACAGAAAAAGTTTCCATGTTTCCAATGGTATGCTTTGTGGATCCAGAAGATGTGATAAAGGTTGTTTTCCAAGGCCTCAAAGTTGCTACCTCAAAACTGGAAAACTGCCAGAAAATGACCAAGGCAGAAAACTGTTTTGTGAAGCCTACTTTGAAGCTTAATTCGAGGAGTATGGATCTGATTCAAGTCCAAAGGCTTCCACAACATGAAACTAGGTATGTTTATATACCAAGGGAAGGAATCGGATGAAGAATTGGAGTTCGGGAAGGCCTCGAACAAAAGGCGCGAAGTTAGTACGAAAGCTGCCTTTTGACTGTTTTGCGGGCAGACTACTTGTGCGCCAAGAAAGGAAGTTTATGGCCGAATTTTGAGTCCTTTTTAGAGTTTGTTTTTACCTTAATTGTTTCCTTGTTCATCTAGATTTGTATTAGGTTTTATTGGCTATAAATAGCCCTCCATTTACGTTGTAAAAACAGAAAACTTTGATTAATCGAAAAACAAACCTTTTGGTTTTGTGCAAGTTGCGACTTGTTTGAGTTTGGTGGATTCCAAGCTTGTGAGCTTTGTATCGATTGAATATCCTCTTCAATCGTGGTCGAGCAGCTACCCTTTTATACCATACGAGCTTTCCCCAGGTGTGGAATTGTCCGTTGGTTCCGTTTTATCCTAAGTTCGTATTAAGAGCGCTTCGTTCTTGATTCGAGCTTAATCGATTTTTCGATTGAGTCGTTGCTGCGTTACTTTGATAACATACACCCCAGGGGCATATTACAACTATAGTTCGAGATCTGATTAACTATTAGTGAAGACCAGCTTTAACTTACAACATAAATTGTTTTTCGTATACTCTGTTGTACAGATGCCTTCATAAGACCACTTCTGAAATGCTCACCGAGTAAAACCCATAGGAACTAGAGGTGGCTGTTCTATGTATTTCAAATTTCCTTTGACCCCAAACAGGATTCTTTATGAACAAACTATTCTACTGTTTCCATGATCAGACTTTGTCCAGGGAGCAGGCATTTATGCAACGGTAAATTGAACATCGAAGTTCGTACGAGTTCGGAGACGAGGGCACAATATCAATTATCAACCCACTCTTTCTCAACCAGCTGTACGTGCAGATTTGCCTTCAGGATCGCCTCGAAATGGAGTTTGTCCATCTGCTTCGCCAATGACTTGACGAAGTCCACCGAAAATATCAAGTCGAAACTCTCTTCCATATGGCTCAAATCCTGAGAGATCTGGAAACCAACATCTGCTCCCTGTAAATCAACCAGTCCTGCCAACAGAGGATTCCAGCCGCTGAGCATTTTGGTAGTGCTGCAAACCTGAGTAAAGGGTAAGAGAAATGGAGTCACTGCTTCATAACTGCAAATGCTGCTATGCCAACACGGGCGAGAACCTTTCGTGCATTGCTGATAGACGAGAAGTGGAATTTCGAGCCAGATAGTCAATAAGAGAAAACAATGGGTGAAGTTGGCAAGAAAATGTCTAACCTCGATATATTTTACACCCATTTCACTGAGGGTATTGGGAATGTTTTGCGATGAAAGCAAATGAATAGCACCTCCAGATCCAACAGGTTACTTCAGCATTTCCCATGGGGACTTCATCAAGATTTTATTCCTGCTGTTTTCGTCTGCAGAACTTGTAACAACAGGAAGCTTCTCTTCCTCCAGAAACCAAACCTGAAAAGGGCACTCATGTTAGAAACCTGAAAGTAGGCAGATGGAGACAAATCAAATACACAGAAAATGAGTGCAGCATTCTACTTCTTAGCTGCAACTCAAGGTTTCACCATTTTCATTGGTATAACTCCCCACACTTTACAGTAATACCATTATACAAACCTTATTGCAGTCGAATCCAAAGAAGTCGTTGCTTGAAAATATTACTTCCAGAGGCTGGATCTCTTGCTCAGGACAAACCAGAACCCAAGGGACAGATCCACGATCTTCCATCTGAAGTATACATGAATTGTTACAACTTGTGAAATCTCTTAAGCAGGGTCATGAACAAACGGAAGGAAGTGATATTACCTTTACAAACATCTGGCTGTCGGAAAGTGGTTTGGTAAGTAATGTACAAGGTGAATTTTCTGTCTTACTGCCTTTCAAGTCAACAAGTTGATGGTTCACAACCAAGACGATTCCGATTTTTCCTTCAGATAAGAGATGGCATCCACTTTCATGAAAACGCAAATTGGCTCCCAAATCATTTACACTGAAGCTAGTACTAAGCCCATCCTTGGGAATCTTAAGAAAACCATTCTTTAGCTTGGCTCTTGTTGCACCAACCAATTCAGTTGTACTCGACCTGTTCCGGTGTTCAAGAACCAGAAGTTCAATCAAACAATAGACTTAAAAACTTATGAAAGAAGTAATAAGAGGCGGAATAGTAAAACTGCTGAACAAAGTTAAGAGAAACGGTATGCCTAGCCTGCCAGCTTTAAGTAAACTGAATATCCTAAATAAGACCATCATGCCGCATAAATAACCCACTAAAACACCTGAACTTGCATGGGTCATGATAAACTACAAGGACTGAACATAGAAAGCAAGAACACAGACTTAACACTTCATGAAAATAGATTACTTCACTAAAGACTGATTCAGTTCAGTTGGTTTACAGCCCAGCCACTTTTCCCAAACTCCTCTGCATATTCATAAAACATAGTAACAACAACTCATAATGTAGTTCACCTGAAAATCACCTGTTAGATGACATCCCAATATTTTTTTAGTGCATGCTGAAGGAGATTGGAATTTACTGCAACAATTTCATCTGCCAACAAGCTCCTTTCGGACTTTTCTCCATATCTGAGTCCATCAAATACATGTTTTTGCTCTATGTCAACTAACTTTTTTTTGGCAGCTATAAGCTGTCGCTGGAGCCTTTTTCTTTCTTTCCATTCCTGAAATGCATCAAATCACAGACTCAAGTCAGTGGTGGTTTCACCCGGTAAGGAAAAAAGCTTTAAGCAGAGAAAATAACGTGATAAGGTTTCAACAGTAAAATTGCAGAAGCAAAAAAGAACCACGGAGTTTACAAAATCCATCACCTAGAGAATTATAATACTTGTTTGGTTATTGAGAATAGCTTTCAATAGCCTACTAATTACATTACATGCTTACCTCACCTTGGTGATCATGAAAAAACCGAAGTTAAAGTGAAAATCTCACTTTAGGAATTGCAAGTCTTAACTAGAACAACGAATATAAGAGCGTAAGAGAAATAAATGGGGGGAAAAGATACTATAATCAAGTATGTTATCATAGCTCATTACTCTCCCTCTAAATTTTCTGAATAAGTTCTCAACTAACAGCCAAACCAATGACAAATAAACAGAGTACAAAGAAGTATGCCTCACAAGCTGGAGCCTTTCCTTCTTGGACCTCTCATCCAAACGTACATTCAGCTCAAGGAGTCCTTTTGGGGGGTGTGATCCACATTTCTCGTTTATTCATATCGACATCTGGAACAATTGCTTCAACAAATGGCACCCACACAAGAGGGCCAGAGGCACCAGCTTCTACAACCACCGGCATTTCAGTTACATCAATTGCATCTGTTGACGAGTAAAGCATGACTCTCAAAAAGTCACATGCCCCACTGTTGAAAACGTCAACAACAGTTCCCACGCATTTAGATGTATCCTATGAACAGAAGTGTCATTTAGTACTTGTAAGTTAAAAGCCATACAATCATTAACAAATATGAAAAGAAGAAAAACTTATAACAACTTGTAAAGTTCGCTCTGGAACCAATAAGAATGGAAGGTAATAAATAGAAAAAATTTAGGTGCTATGTAACAACGGTATCTATGTCAACTGATTAAGCTAGGCATAGCTCAGAAAGAAAGTGAACACAGAAATGGGGAAACTGGGAAAGAACAAGGGAAACAGGATGTGCCCTGAATTCTCCAGGTTAAATAGCTTGACTATATAGCTTGATCACAAAGAAAGAGAGAAAACAAGGCATTCACAGGCAAGGTTACTAAACTAACATTCTTCAAGAACATATATGCTGGGGTGTGGAAAATCATTTAAACAACAAACCTTGAGAATCACTCTCATGCCAACCAGGTCACGAGTATAGAATTCCCCTTCCTCGAGCTCAGGTCTATCATCTTCTCTGACTAGCAAAGCTGATCCAATAAGTTGCTTCGCCTGTAAAACCAACAGACATATTCAGCCAACAACGGAGTCAACTAATGCAGTAGGCATAACAGTTCCCACATGTTCTTATCATTAGCACCAATTACCCAAAATCTCTAGTTGAGGGGAATTAACACATCAGAACACATACAAATTGCTAACTTCAGCAATCGACAATGGATTACCATTCCTCATTCATATCACCTAAAACCGAACCACTGATTCCCATCATCACACGGTGACTCACCTCATTAACTGTCTCAAATCCTCCAAGTAAGCACCCAACTCCTCTTCCCAGGGTTTTCCCTCCCTTCAAGCAACTCAACTTCTTGAATCACTTCTTTACCGTTAACAGATTGCTTCAACCATCTTCTCCCGGGCTGAAAAAACCACCCATCAATCCAAAACTATAAAACCATACAAATACATACTAAAACGTCCCGAAATCCTCTCAATTATACGAATTAGCTGCTGCCATTACCTTGGAAAATCGTAGTTTAGGGAAATCCGTAGTGGGCTCAACACAAATCTCTCCGTGAAGTCCGTGGACACTGGATAGATACCCTACTTCCACGAAGTTCGAAACGCTCTCCGCAGTTTCAACAGCCTCCAGAGTCCAGAGTAGCTGAAACAAATTGCGCGACGCGAGAACAACTTACTATGCCAGTTCTCGTCGAATCGAATTAGAGAGAGCGGGAAATGAGAAGAAGCAAGCTCCAGGACGTACGTACCAGTTCGGTGGAGATGAACCGGGGCGCGGAAGTTTGGACCGGGAGGCTGGGAGCGAAATTGCCTGGAAAGAGAGGTAGAAGGCGGCGGCGGCGGAAAGCCGTCAGGGAATGCTGCAGCGAGTGGCAGATAACGATGGTGGAGTGACGGGAGCAGGGAAGGGCGGAGTAGCGAGACGGTGGAATGCATGTTTTCTTGGCCGTCGAGCGACGGGGAGCAGCTCAGGCGAAACAATCTACTATTTATAATAGGCCGAGGGGAAAAACGGGAGCCCATTTCAAATTTACTGCAACGAGAGTGAATCTACTATTTATAATACGCCGAAGGAAAAAACGGGAGGATACGCAAGGATCATAACCAATCACACTAAGTACATTTATTATATCCTTTTAAATTAAAAACATATAATAGCAGGATGGAAAAAAACTCTCCCCTCATTTCAAATTCCCTGCTCCATGAGCGTTTGTAGGAAGGGTAAAATAGGGAGTGTCAATTTTTTTCTCTTTCCTCTGTGGAACGGGCCAACTTACCGTACACATGCGGATTTAAACGGGTCTAGAAGTGTCAATTTTTTTTATTTATACCTTTTTTTTCTTCGTGGTGATAAAATATATATGAAAAGGCAAAAATAATACTCCTTTTATTGTTAAAAATAAAAAATTTAACAATAAACTAATACATGGTATCTAATGGGCTAACCGCTAACCATAAAATAAAAGAGTTGAATGTGCTTGACCTACATGGGATTTGGCCATCAAGTAAACAAATGAACATCATTGGTTTGTCTTTCTAAAACAAGCTATTTTCTCAGGCTTATAATATATTATGTTATTATTTTATATCTTAGTGGCTAAAATATAATGTATTTTAAAGTTATTCAATGGTTCAACATCGACCAACCCAATTAGTCCAATTTTTATCATTTCAAATATATATTTTATAATTATTTGACATCATAATGATCAAATTATAGGGGGAGTTCTACGGTACCCAGGGTGAAATCAAGGGTACCATATACCCTGAGTATGAAAACGCTATTCAGACCATGAATTGACTGATCTTTCAGACATAATACTATACTCTAACCCTTAAAGATCAAAATCTAGATCTTAGTTCTCTAAATCTAATACTCCAAGATCAATTTAATTAGAATAATAATTTACGGTTATGATTCGTCCAAATAAAGGCCAAAAATGAATGCACCATCTTAGAGTTTATAGTTTATAATTTAGATATTTAGGAACTAGGGTTCACTCATAAAGGGTTAGGATATAGTATCAGGTCCAAAAATCCTGCTAATTCGATGTCTAGATAGTATTTTCATACTCAAGGTATGCGGTACCCTAGATTTCACCCGGGGTACCGTAGAAGGCACCCAAATTATAGTGTATTTTATAGGGAATCGTTTGGTATTTGTTAGTAAAAAACTAAACATAAAGATCTATTTGGTTATTTTAAACATTAAAACGATCCAAAACATTTTCAGTTCCTTTTAAATTTCTATGGTTTTATTCCCAAATAAGTGATGTGCAAATGGGGAATTGTAGTCGTCTCTTTTCTTTCACTATTTTTTATTTTCAAATAGAAAGTTTAAAAGTAAATAATAATTAGAATTTGGCATGGGTCGGCCAAACAGGCTTAATTTCAAGTTTTGGCCCGTTTGTTTTATGCATTGCAAATTTATTAGCATGTTGATGGAAATGGCTTGGAAAAAGACATATAAGTTGTACTTTTGCAGAAATGTCCTCAAATGTTTGAATGCTTTGTGAATCAGGTTCCGTGACTTTTGTGATGGTGTATGTGCTTGACGATTGCTCGATGTTGTAACTACTTAATTTGAGAGTAAATCTTTTGATTTTCCCTATGAGTTGTGATACCAGTTCTCGTGGTTGCAGCATGTTGTCGTTGTTGGCCTGTAAAAGTTGTTCCGCCGTGATGCTAAATACCTTTCTTTCTTTTTTAACAAATTGTGTAATAGTGCTATGAAACAGACCACCCATGAACGCTACGCTTATTATGGTATGTTCTTACTTCCGGTGGTGAGAAATTGTGAATTGAGAATCATATTCGCCTACCGCACTATGTCTGGCTGGTGGCTGCTTAATGTGCTCTCTAGAGTTATGAAACAGACTACCCATGAACGTTACCCTTAAGAGTTCATAACTTTGCGAAAAACCAAATATAGGCAATCAAAGGTGGTGGATGTGTGATGATTTTTTTATGGCTTAATTGTTTGTGAATTGGATATCTGATCTTTGTATGATTAGAGGGGATGTTTGCTTAATAGAATAATCCATTTTAATTCATGTTTATTTTTAGCATGAACTTTAGTAACTCAAAACCTTCGAGACACATATCACCTACTGCATTGTATCATTTTGCCTGGGTGCTTGCTGTGTTGTCAAACTTCTTTGCTGCTGCTGCCGCATTTACACTAACAGGGGAGTTAAGAACCCATGAATGTTTCCGTTTGACACAAACAAGAGGACTTACTTCTAAATCGTGCACTAAAGATTATTGGAGGAAACATCTCTGTTGCAGTTGATATACTGGAGACCATAACAAAAGCAACGTATAACATCAAAACCAACCATCTGAACTATTAGCATTGTTGCTTTACTCTTTTTTCGTGGTTGAGTCTCCTTCAAAAAATTTAGTTTGATTTTAGAAAATTTTGCTTCTGCAGTCCTGTCTTGCCACCAACGCGTTCAGTAGATGGAGATGGCAGAGGCGAAGGCTATTTTTGTGTTGTTGTTGCTGGTTTAGGGATCGGTTTGTGAAGAAGAGGGAGAAGAGAGGGGGGAAGGGAAATGCAGGAGAGGGGGATAACTCTTTTCTCCGACAAAAATGGAGTGAAGAAAGGAATTATGATCAGTGAGGATATGGTTATCTTACATAACGGTCTCTATTCTGTTTGAATTGAGCTTGGGAGGCAGTGATAAGGACGAGCTGCAACCAATTCATAGTGATAAGAGTGCTACGAACTGTGATCATGTCTTATTTCAAGTTAGAAGGTAGTTTCAGTATAAGGATTATTTAATTTGACAAGTTGTTTCGTCCATGATTCTTGGTAGTTTCAGTGCCATTCTAGCCATTGTTTAGTCTGTAATTTTTGAGAATTGATGTGCGAGTAATGACTTTCACTTAGCTTCAACTATAATGTGTGTATTTATTGGCATGTGATAGAATTCTCTTTTCCTTTTCTTTGAATTCAGTTTCATACTCTAATTGTATCATTTGTACATAGACAAATCATGCTCGAGATGACAACTCGCTGATATGGCTGGTGCAAGGAATGAAGCCATCATTAGAATTCAGACCGACAACGGGGAGGGATGCCCAGGACTAATTCAATGATGATTGATGATGGTATAATAAAAACTGCAGTCTGCATCAGCACCAATTTCTAGGCCTAAGTAAATTTATTCAACCCAGAACTCTGCTTAGCGCTAAAAATTGCCCTCACCCAACCTTGATCCTGTTTGACCCACTTCTGAAGAGTCAAGATATATGACTAATCCTCTCCGTTCGTATTTTCTTATTGACTCTTTTTGACCCTTTAGGTTGGGGCGGGTCGGGAAGAATCGGATTAGTGGGTCGGTCCTAATCAAGTGGAATCCCAATCCCTTCACTCTCACTTGCTTTCTCTCCCATTCCACAAGTGGGTAACATACAGTAATCCGGCGAACGAGCCGGGTAATAAGCTAGTTTTGTTTATGAGCGCCCAATTTTTCTCTCATAGTGGGCTGGGACTGGGACTGTGGGACTTAGAGTTTGCGGTTCGGTTAACCAAAATTCGAATCAGTCCATTGTTAAAATCAAACCCAAATTGATAAAAAAAAAAATTTAACGTTTCTGTTAGAATAAATTGAAATTTGAAGACTTATCAATTATTTTTGTTCGTTTATTAACGGTTAGATTATAATCAAAACCGTAAAAACTTGTCGGTTTTATCTACTAGCTTATAACCCGACACGTTAGTCGGAATACTTATATTTGATTATTTTATATTTTTATGTTACGTTTAAATCTATCAATCTGTTTAATTTTATTGATAAATTTTCAGTTGAGATGATATATAAAAAATGAATATATAGGTCGAACATTAGGAGAAATATCATCATCATTTAAGAATATAAAATATAAAAATGTATCATTGATCCCATTTTGATAATGATAATTAAGTCTCCTGTAAAATACTATCGGTTAGTTGATTATCAAGAAAGATAAGTATAAAAGCTCACTGGAATTTTCACACGAACCATAGATAGTTTGAAACTTAATCTTAAACCTCGCAATCCTACATAAAGGTTCAATGCTCTCTTTAATAAAAAATAAATGGAGAGGTGTTGATTCAAGTCAACTAAATACTAACAACTCAGCTAAGAGAGGACCATCAAAACTTGAGAGCAAACGCCAAAATAAGGGTTACCTCGAATAACTAATAGACTCGATCTAAGTAATAAGGAACAAAATTATACACTTTCTCAATCAGTTCCAGTAGGTTGAATAAAGAATCAAACGATCTACTTCAGTAATCAATCAATGATTTCTCGTTTTAAGATATAAATAGGTTGCGATAGCTGCAAAAACCATAAACTTAAAGATCCAATAGCCACTAGGGGTGGCTATACGGTCCGGTCCGGTTAAATTGGCCCAAATTGATTCGGTCCAGTCCGGTTTTTTTGAAAATATAAGGACCAAAGATTGGATTGGATACAGTCCGGTCTTGACCCGGTCCGGTCTTGACCCGGTCTGGTCCCAATTCGGTCTTGATTTTATATTGAGATTGTGGGAATTTGAGTGGCCTAAGGCCTAAAAGGGTGAGGAGTTGGTTAAGTTTTGTACTAAGTGCAAAGGTTTGTGACCATCTATGCAAATTACCCTTAAGTTTTGGGTGTTAAGCTCTCTTATCCGGTCTTTATCCGGTTTTTTACCTCAAATCTAAGCCCAAAGATTGGATTGGATTGTTTACTATCTGGTCCCGATCCGGTCTCGGTCCGGGTTATACAGTCCGGTTTCCGGTTTTTCATCCGGTCCCGGTCCAAATAGCCAGCCCTAATAGCCACCACTCTCTGTTGTACATTCAAATTTTTGTCCACTATATCTTCAATATCAAGAGGCGTATGTTTCAACCAAAAATTCAATTCTAATCCTCCTTCTACAACTCCATTTATTGAACTCCATTCTATTCGCCATGAATTGATATCAGAGTTAAAATCTTCTACTTGCAGTTTAAATCCCCAACCATAAAATTATAGCGCCAAGAGATGCTGGAAGATTGACTTTCAAAGGCGGCCTTGTACTATGAAGTGAAAGGGGCGCAAACTATTGCACGATGGAGGGGATTTCGAAGGAAGTTTGAACGAGACAAGAACAAAGATAAAAAAAGTACTAAATTTAAATATAAATTAATAAATGCAAGGACACAACACGTAGTAATAGAATTAATTTTTCCATGTTAGCCAATACCAATTTACCTTTAGCAAAAATTAAGGAAAGAGCAGTAATTTTAGAATTGAGAAAACTGCATGAAACTCGACTATGAAAATTGGAGTATCAAGCACCATAAAAATACATACGGTAGACTTAGTGAGCTTGCTATCATTATGGAAAAGTCCTTGATTTTCAGAGTGTCATTTCATGTATGTTTTATATTAAAAAAATACAACAAATTTGTTTGTGTAATTGGTTGTAATTGTTGTCTTTCTTTAAAAAGACATGGGTTCAAATCCTGTATTGTCATTTTTTATATGAAATAAATAATTAGTTATAAAGACAAAAATGTTCTTCCTATTTTCATTCTCGTTGCAGAAAATTTGAAATAGAGAAAAGTAGACAAAACTCTAAAATAATACTATCCATTTTGGTTCAAACAAAAAAACCTGAAATCGTCCTGCCACCCGTAATGAGGAGGTTAGAATTTAGATGATGGTAACTACTAGGGTAAATACAATATATTAACCACAACTATTATGAAGCGGGGAATTATAACCAAAACTATGGAAATTCAAATTATTAGTCAAACGTTAACTTTCTGTTAACAATTTCGTTAGTAATGCTGACTAAACATTTATGTTTTAAAGTTATAAATTAAAAGCAAACTGACGTGGCTGCTGCCGTGGCCGATGACTTGACCTTCTCCTTTAAAGATTCAATAATAGTCACGGACAGTTAGCCATATATTGACCCGCAACAATAGTTATGGCTAATAATTTGAATTTACATAGTTATGGCTATAATTCTCCGCTTCATAATAATTGTGGCTAATATATTGTGTTTACCCTAACTACTAAGATATATCGAAAGAGGACGCCACCATTTGGCATATGTTTATGTTCTATCATTGGGTCTAGACATGGGTAAAGATGACAACTAGACATTTCTCTAAACTATCACATCCTTATTTTAAAAGTTTCAAATTTATACTTATATCTTATTCATATGGATGGAGGCTTTATAATCGATCCCAATAACTTGGGTTGTTGGGAGATGTTCAACACCACGTGCTTAACAGAAACAGATGTGGTCGTCGGGATTCGAACAAAAGACCTCTCGATTACATAATGCTCTGATACCATGTCAAGAACCAGTTGATCCCAATAACTCGAGTTGTTGGGAGAGGTTCAATCGTGAATCATATATCATTTACTAACAATATATACTTTAAAAAATAATTGTGCAAATTTTATATATTTAAGTTTAAAACATGTCATAAAGAGCACAGAAAATTATCACAAAAGGTAATCCAAATAATACATTCATAAAACACCAAGTAATTCATAAAACTCATATATAATCATTTTGCAAGAGGTTGCATCTCCAAGAAAATTTGGGTTGCATGTGTACATGGCGCTGGGTCATGCTTGGGCCGACACGACACAGACACGCTTCATGCCCATTTATTTCGTGTCGTGCTTGGCATGACCCGTCAGTTTTCGTATCGTGTTGTGAAAGCTTATTTGTTAACTTTGTTAGGCCCAGCCCAGGCCCGAGCACGGTTGAAATCGTGTCGTGCATATTCGTGCTCGTGCCGTGCTCGTATTTGTGTCTAATGAAAATGAAGAAAACAAAAGAGAGAATGAAAAAGAAGGTGAAAATTGGATGAAGAAAGATAGTATTAACCGAGAATGTTTGAGAAAAGTAACAAATAAGGGAAAAAGAAAATTGGAAGTATAACACTTGTGATTTGGCTTTGTTTAATTCTTCGTCCATTTTTACTTATGGTAGTAATTACGTATATATTTTTATGACACTTCTAACAACAACAAATATTATATTAATCTACTTGTATTTGTAATACTTGAACCTATAATTCTTTCTATATCTATTTTTTTATTAAATAAATGTTATTTTGTGCCATGTCTGTTCTTATACTCAATAAATCTCAAAAATATTAGGCCCAACACGGCCCACTTATATATCGACTATCGTGCGGTGCTCGTGCCCGTGCTCATGAAGTTTAGACCTGACACGGCCCATAAAATATTCGTGTTCATGCCTGGCCGACCCATTTATTTCGTGCCCGTGCTCTAACCGTGCCGTGCTAGCCCGTGGGCGGCCCGGTCCGATGCCCACGTTTGCATGTCATGATGTGCATTATCTAATTTGGATTCGGGTTGCATCTTTTATATTTGATTATCAATATTTCAAAAATCAATATTTTAAAAACTCTTACCGTATTATCTAGTTGGACTGAAAATATCGAATGTTGAACACCAAACTATAAGCCATTTTTTTTATAACAATTTAAGCGATTTTAACCGTACGAAACAACTAAACTAAACTACTGTTTTTTTTATAACTGAACTAAACTACTGTTTTAGTACAAAATAGCACCCAGCTAAACCCAAAAGTAACTTCTAATTTTTTTATGAAATGAAATAAAACCCATTAAAGAAAAGATAAAATAGGGGAATATCCTATCCTCATCTCACGGACCGGCCCACAAAGGTCAGCCTCATGGCAATATCGATATTATCATCAACTTCCGTGGTCAAATTAATACCTTGGTATATCCAAATACAAGAAATTTTATTATTAATTAATCTTTAATTCCGCTGCCAAATCATTAGATAAATAAATAAATAAATGATTTCCCCCAATTCTTTTTCTTTTTACAATATGATTTCCCCCATTTCAGGCGGACGCCAAAAGGGATTTAAATCCAATTGAAGCCACTCGTCCCTCTCCTCTCCTCCATAGACAATCGCACTTGGCAATAATTTTTTCACCTTCAGCCGTATAATTTAATAACTCGGCCTCGTCGTCCAATCATCCTTGCTCTCTCTGCCTTTTCCATCGCTATCTCGCTCTGCTCTCTTCTCCAATAAAGGAGAGAAAAATAATTCTGGGGGGGAGAGAGAGAAGTGGAAGCAAGAAAGAGTTCGACGCAGTGGTCAATAAGAAGAACCAGAAGAGAAGGAAGAGGTAGTGAGGCAGTGGATTACGCAACAAAGTCGTCGCCTTTGCTCTCGCGTGTGGCGATCGTCGTCGTGTAGTGTAAACTAATCCCTCTCTTTCTTCTGGGCTCTCTTTGCTTTTTATGCTGGGTTTCTGCTGCTGGACTATTTTACGGTTCCCTCGTTCGTTGATCGCTGCCCCACTCTCCCTTTTTCGTGTTTTCTCTATTGGGGTTTGTTTTTCCTTCTCCTTTTTCGGAGGTGTTTTTCAGCCTGTCGGTTTCGATGAATGCTGGTTTCTATTGAACTGGGGTTTGGTGTTTGCCAAAAAAAGGGTTTGTAAGAGGGTTTGTGAATTGAGGGAGAATCGGAAGTATGCAGTGAAGTTTTTGCTGTTTCCAGGCCATGTAGGAACTGGGTTCTTGCTTTGGTGTGCTGAAATTATATGGTGGCAATTTGGGAGAGAGAAAGATTCTTCCTTCCCCATTATTCGTTGTACAATAAGGCACCTGCCTCGTGTCTTTTCTGAACCACGTAAATAGTTAATTTTGCTTCCTGCCCGTTTTATTGTCTCTCGTTCCCTTTCTGGTTTCAGATCAATTTAACTGCTCTTCCTGCCAACAGGTGCATGTGCTTCCTTTTCCTTGCTTGCTTCGACTGTCTCATCCTAGCTTTCTGAGTTTGCAGCTCTTGCTGATGTATGTGCTTTAGGTCGCTTGTGATGATTTTAGAAATTAGTTTAAAGATTTAGGATTTGATTCGGAGCCAAGTTAGGTGAGTTGCTTTTGCATTGGTTCGTTTGAGGGTTTATGGTTGGGAGTTTTGTACTATTGTGGACATGCTTTGCATGAGTTGTTTACCACCTAGCATGTATGATCAGTGGTTTCTGCCGGGTAACTGGGTTGAGGATCATAGTTGATAAGAAACTGTATGAATAAAATCACTATTACTACTATTTTAATGTTACTTTCTTCTTGTTGTTTTTGTACGCTGATAAACAAATTATACCCTCCTTTTCTTTTGATTTCTAAAAGTATGTGTATGAGCTTTACATAACAGTTTATACCCTGGTAATTTGTTAATCTGAACAACTGCATGTGATTGTTCGTTCTTATCAGCTAGTCAATGCAATGAAGCAGCATTCACATAGCTTCTATCCTGGTAGTTCTTTATGGAGGATATTTCACGTTTTATAATGATTGTGGAAGAAGTGGTGTCGCTCTAATCCAATCTTATTTGCCATCTTCATCAGGTCCCACTATGATTCAGCCTGTGAATATAAGTAAACCTGTGGGGAATGGTGCATACGGAATTTTTTCTGGATCTGATACCCGCAATACAGCAAGCGATGCTGCCCTCTTCTCTAGCTCTTTACCTGTTCTACCACACGAGAAGTGTATGGCTCCGTCTTCTTATTTTGTGTTCTTGTTTCCTTGCAACTATTTGACAGTGCTTTACATTTGCAGTGAATTTGGAAGAGACAGATCATGGTGACCAGTCAGTTGATGATGTCTCTGCTGGTTCTGAAACACTTAATCAAAATGGGGAGAACGCTGATATACTTCAAAATGATGAAGCTCATGTTGCTGGTACCCTGCTTCCTGATGACGAGGATGAGCTTTTAGCTGGAATAATGGATGATCTCGATCTGTCTAGGTTACCATTATCTCTTGAAGACCTCGATGATTATGATCTTTTTGGCAGTGGAGGAGGAATGGAACTGGAAATGGACTTGCAGGAAAACATGAGCTTTGGTCTTTCGAAGTTCAACTTGTCTGATGGTATTGCTGGGAATGGAATTCCTCAGTATGGTCTTCCTAGTAGTGTTGGAACAGTTGCAGGTGAACATCCATATGGTGAGCACCCTTCAAGAACACTATTTGTCCGAAACATTAACAGTAATGTTGAGGATTCTGAACTCAGGGCTCTGTTTGAGGTATAACACAATCTGGCCCTCTTACTCTTTCCCTCTTTCTGAGTTCTTGATGCATTTGGACCTCTCTATTTATCCATCCAAAGCACTAAAACATGTTTCTCTAAATTATGCGATGCAGCAATATGGTGACATTAGGACTCTGTACACTGCTTGCAAACATAGGGGTTTTGTGATGATATCTTATTATGACATCCGTGCTGCTCGAACTGCAATGCGTGCATTGCAAAACAAGCCGCTTAGAAGGAGAAAACTCGATATTCACTTCTCAATTCCTAAGGTAAAACTATTTGAGCAACGTAACAAGTTTAGTTTCTGCCGGTGTTTTGTCGAGTTCTTACAGTCTCTCTGACTCTGCATTTTAGGATAATCCTTCTGAGAAGGATGTCAATCAAGGAACTCTTGTAGCTTTCAATCTGGATCCATCAGTGTCAAATGAAGACCTGCGTCTGATTTTTGGTGTCTATGGGGAGGTTAAAGAGGTAAAATTTTAATTTTCACATTGTTCTAATGTGAACATTTTGTGACTGAAATTCTCTTTTTTGCAAACAGATCAGGGAAACACCACACAAGAGGCACCATAAGTTCATCGAGTTTTATGATGTGAGGGCTGCAGAAGCAGCACTTAAGCAGTTAAATCGAAGTGACATAGCTGGCAAACGCATAAAGCTAGAACCAAGTCGCCCTGGCGGTGCTCGTCGAAAGTAAGTTTGTCAACCTGAATTACAGTAATGCCGTATCACCATGGTGGTTGAAACTGAGCACAATGTGCTCTTTTATTATGGTATGAAAAGCAGGCATCTTTCAGTTAAACCTAGTTTAGCACGTAACCTCCGCCAAGCCTCCCTTACCTTGTTTCTAGGAATGTAATTTTCTTATTCATTTTTATTTATCTTACTTTGCAAGTTTATTGTGCTGCTTCTCTCTTTGTTCCCCCTTTCACCCTCCCAAAAAAATTCTTAGGCTGCTTTGGTGGTTTGATGGTTGGGGTTCCATCCAGACCACTCTCTAATTGATTGTGTCCTTCATTTTCACGGTTCACCTTGCAGTTTGATGTTGCAACTGAATCAAGAGCTTGAGCAAGATGAGCCTCGAAATTTTCGCCATCCAGTGGGTTCTCCAGTAACCAACTCCCCTCCAGGTGGGACATGCTTAAAAACTTGTTACATTTGCAATTTCTGAAAATTTCCTTGGAACTAATTTGGAACAAATTATGGCAGGTAACTGGCTACAGCTCAACAGTCCAATAGAACACAACCCTTTGCGGAGTATCAGTAAATCACCAGTTTTCAGGAACATGAGCCCAACTCATAGTAGTCATGTCTCTGGGCTGGCTTCAATTCTTCACCCTCAAGTCTCGAATTCAATGAAAGTCGCACCAATTGGGAGAGAGCATGGGAGGAGTAGCCTTTCACTACTTGGATCTGCCTTCCAACAATCCCATTCACTACCTGACTCAAAGTTGAGCCAATTTCATGCAAGCATGTCATCGTTGGGTCCTTCAACATCAAGCGGATCTGTTATGGAAACATTATCAGGCCCACAGTTTCTTTGGGGAAGCCAGAACTCTCATCCGGAGCAGCATACCATTTCTTCATCAGCCTCTTCGGCCTGGCCAATGCCTTCATCAACACGGCATCCTTTTCCATCCAATGGGAAGGGACATGTGTTGCCATTTTCAGGTCGGCATGGTTCTTTCCTGGGTCACCAACAACATCTTCATCATCATGTTGGTTCTGCTCCATCTGGAGTCCCTCTGGAGAGGCACTTGGGATTCCAGCCAGATTCACCAGAGACATCATTCATGAATCCCGCTGCTTCATTTGGAGGATTTGGTATGGGTCAGAATGATCGAAACTTCATGATGAATATGGGGGGACCACATCCTCTTATGAATGGAGTTAATAATATTTCTAGAACCATGCCTGACAATGGTGGTTCTTCAAGTTACAACAGAATGATGTCTTCCCCTAGGCTTAGTCCTGTTTTCTTAGGTAGTAGCCCATATGCAGCAGGACTTGCATCCCCTAGCATGGATAATTTTATTGACCGTGGCAGTAGTAGACGGATTGAGAGTAATGGAAGCCAAGTTGATACCAAGAAGCAGTTTCAGCTTGACTTGGATAAGATCATGAATGGGGAAGATTCTCGGACGACACTAATGATAAAGAATATACCGAATAAGTAAAGTTTGCCATCTGTCATCTTTGCTAGTGTTTGAGATGGTTATTACAGTAAGATAATTATTCTTTACTTGTGTTGTTATACTGTTCTTAGGTACACTTCTAAGATGCTGCTTGCTGCCATTGATGAGAAGCACAGGGGTAGTTATGATTTCCTCTACTTGCCCATTGATTTCAAGGTACTTACACTGAGCATTTGGAGATATGTTTGCTCTATATCCTGATTTATTTTTGTCTATTTATCTTTTAATCGCTGATGGCCTTTCATTGCCTGCTGCAGAATAAATGCAACGTGGGCTATGCATTTATCAATATGTTGTCTCCTTCGCACATCGTCCCTTTTTACGAGGTCACTTATCAGTTATTTTCAGCCATGTCTTATTTTGACTCTCATTGTCCTTTTCCTCTGAGCGTATGGTTTATCATTTGTGATTCGGTGCAGGCGTTCAATGGTAAGAAGTGGGAGAAGTTCAATAGTGAGAAAGTTGCTTACTTGGCATATGCTAGGATCCAGGGAAAGGCAGCTCTTGTGAACCATTTCCAGAACTCGAGTCTTATGAATGAAGATAAACGCTGCCGGCCAATCCTGTTCCATTCAGAGGGTCAGGAGTTTGTCGACCAGGTATGGAATTCCAGTTGAAGAGTAACTTATTTTAAGGGTGTGTTTTAACTTTGCTTGAAATGAAATGTTGAGTGTACGTGATGATAAAGCGTGTTTGGTTTGAGTTTCGAGTTTCAAGTTTCAATTTATCAGCTCATTTCTCTTTTGCAGATCATTCATGAGCATCTACAGTCAAACAGTTTGAACATTCAGTTCCGTCAGCCAAATGGGTTATATTCTGAGGACTCTCCAGCTGGAAGTCCTACAGATGATTACCCTTTTGATCAAAGATGACAATGAAGGAGGGGGAAGGTGGATGGGGATGCCCTTGGCCTGCACTTTATTGATGGTAGGACATGGGGCAGACTAACTGTTTTGCGTGTATAGTTTTCCAAGTGTACAAATGTTGGGAGGGAAATGATCATCTGGGGGAAGAAAAAGAGAGGAAAAAAGGAAGTTACTTGCAGGTTTTGTATAAAGTATTAGCGGCAGGTTCAGAAGAAGGGTAGCAGAAGCATTTTGGGATCCCCTCTTTGTCAACGAATAATGGTTCTTCTGTAGATCAACAAGGATAAATGATGACAGTTGAAGCACTCAAACTTGTCGCTGCTCACCACCAGCTTGTGCATGGCATGCTTTGTGTTTCTTTTTTCCCCATTTACGCCTGCGGCGAAATTATGTACTCTGTCTCTGCAATTATTCTACAGAATTGTACAGTGGTCAGACAAACACTATCTGGGATTTAATTTATGGAGCTCTGTTATTGGAGACATAAGTCAGTAGTATAATTCTCGACACAGAAAATGGTTGGAACTTGGAATAACTCATCAAATTCTCAACAGAAATGGATCGCACAACACTCGAGGTTATTTGGCTACATACAGGTTATCTTCCCATTAGTAATTGGGCACCAACCCTATCTGCTTTCCCTCCTTAGTTCTGAACTCAAGATCAATGAGGAAACAACATTTATTTTGCTCTCTATTATATCTCACACGACCATTCATCATATTGATCAACTTCCTCGAAAGACCAAGCCCAAGACCTTCCGGAGTTGCCCATCGTTTCTCGCCTTCGACCATGTCTTGGACGAGAGCACTAGGCAGGCCGGCACCAGGGTGTGTCATTCTGCAAAGCACAGACAGCCCCAAGTTCATAGCCAAATATGAATGGAAAACAACTTATGCGAAAAATCCATTCTGCAGTGTACCTGAACTGTAAACGGATGCACTCATTGCCATCTTGTATCAGCTTCAAACCAGGCGCGACCTTGATCTCTACCCATCCATTTGACGAAGGTGTATGATGAACAATGCTCAGCAAGAAATTTGACAGCACAAGCTGAAGCCTTATTTGATCACCATACAGAGTAAGTGTCTTCGCTTCCTCGGGAACTTCATGTAGCAGCTGGATTTGCTTTTCCATTACAGAGATCATGGCTTGGCTAACTATGGCATCCAAGACATTTCCCAGGACGAACTCTTCCACGCAGAGCTCCACTTTGCTGCTTTCAACAGTAATAATGAATTTTATACGACCAGTAATACATTGACGTAGGAGTTATATATATCAACTGGGCCCTTCAACTATAAAGTTACGTTTCTACTATCGAATACCTTGAACTAAGTTCTTTTATATGGTAGTGCCTCAAGTTTTCGACGTTTCCTGCTCAAGTCCCTGGTTAGTAAGTAGTTAAAGTGGATCTCACCTTGTTGTCTGGGCAATGGTGGTAGTGGTTTTTCTTCTTTATTTTTGATGAACGGACAGCAGGATAATTTTATGTGTTTATTTTAGGCAGACTATGCACTTATTCACTGCCCAATCAGTAAGGAGGGGATCCAAATTAATGGTCAACTAACAGGAGGCTGATGGTAAATACTTGATTACGAGTGTAAGAAATGAGGGAAGCACTACTAAAGGAAAAGAAAATACTTCAGGGACTTTGATAGAAGACACTCTAGTTGAGGGCTCCAAGTGATATATAACTCCTGATGTAGACTATAGATTCCAAAGAGCAGTAACTTACCCTTGTTCTAGTCTCCCAAGTTCTGCATCCTTGATAATGGCCATGATCTGCCTTCCACATGCATCACTGGTTTCAAGGAACTGTTTCTGATATTCTGATGTTGCTGTAGTCTCAAGAAGCATGTGAGTGAATCGAATGCCACTCAGTGGATTCATCATTTGCTGTCGTATGTAAGCCAACTCTGTCAGCTTATGCTCGTCGTCTTGTCTATGAACTTCTATAGGATGCTGTTCAACCCCAGGATCCACAATCTGCAAGAAGCAGAAACAGCCAATTATGTCGCCTTGTGCATTACTCCTTCTGTTGGCTGTTATGACCACATCCTTAAAATTCCCATCTCTATCGGAAAACCCAAGTTGAAGCTTCTCAGTGTCTCGACCACTAATTCCCTTATAGAGCAGAATCATGAACTTGGTCAAACTATCTTGACCTCTCAGCTGGCATAGACCTCCAAAGATCTCACCCGGAAGCACCTTACCTATGACCTCCTCTCTGCTCCAACCTGTCAGCTTTTGTATGGCGCTATTCCACTCGGAACAACAAGCGTTCTCATCAGAAGCAAATATTGGTGGAATTAAGGGATTAAGACTATGAATGATCGCCTTGTAATCCCCTTCTAGGCGAATGAATTTCTCTTTAACAATCTTTTCGTGAGTAATGTCTTGACCCACAAAGCAAACACCTATGATGTTGTTTGTGTAGTCCCTGCTGGTGCAAGCATTAACCATTATGAATATGACCGAGTTTTCTTGGTGCGGCCCAAACGTCCTTAGTTTTAACTCCACATTTTTGTCTTCTTCACCTGCACAAAATGGTCATCAGCAGCATATATTGCAGATAGTTTAATGGCTGGAAGTATATACAACAAAGGGGCAAAGCCGAATCAAACTAATAGAATCAAAGAGCATTGATTAATGCAGACTACAAGATTACTTGTTAGGGAAAGGATTAACCTTGCAAAGCTTTGGTTAGAAGGCTTTCAATTTCACCCCTCGAGTCCTCATGGACAATATCATGAACAAGAGATTTTCCCATGGCTTCCTGGGGTTTTAATCCAGTCAAATCAGCAACTTTGGCATTCCAGCCATTTATTAAACCAGCAAGATCTACCCCAAAAATGGGTGCTGTAGCTGTCTCAATCAGCCTTACCATTTCACTTGCCACCGAACTAATTTCATTTATATCCTCCATCTCTGTGTCCATGTTCTTGGAACAAACCATTACCTTTGCACCGTTAACCTCCATTTCATGTAAAGCATCTCTCATTATTAGTTGTAATGAGTGAATAGCATTAATCTCTGAAACCTCCCATGGCAAACTTCTGCTTTTCACCACTTCAAGAAATGCTTTAAACGATGACCTTGGATGCATCTTCCCACCATCGTCCTTGTCTTCCGGATGATGCTTTGCACCTCCCCATTTCATCTCTTTTGCAGTGTGAGATCTGAACCAGAACAAGAAATCTTGAGAGGTGATACTAGCAGCGGCCATGCCACAAACTGCGTCACCAAGAAAACCAGCACCAGGGTATCCAGCAGCTGCTAAGCTGTCCGTGGTCAACCCTGTGGAATCACCATGATTGTCAAGCAGCCATTTCACAATATCTTTCACCTGTGATTCCGTTGGAGTTACACCAAGCAACCAACACTTTCCACCATAAAACAGAGCCGCTCCTTCGCATCTCACCAGATCCATAATGCTGGGAGACTGTGTGACAATACCAAGAGGCGCATCACGGAGAAGCATATCACATAACAAAGTTTGTGTTTTCAGAACCTTCTTTTCCTGCAATTGTGCAGCCAATTGAAGCTCCATGTAGAGCTGCAGGCCAAATGCCTGCATTAGAAATTCACATGCATAACGCTGTGGGAAAGGGACATACCGAGGGGAAGTGTGGTGGCACACAACCAATCCCCAAAGCTTGGTTGAATCATTGCCATTTATGGTAACCGACAACACTAATGAAGCAATAGAACTCATATTGGCCATGTACTGAGAGTGGCAGCCATGTGGAGAGCGGAGAGTAGAATTGGACAACAGCAGAGGCTGCTTCAACTCCTCACTCTGAATGACCCTAACTTGATTGGCATTGCAATCACAAATCATCCGAACCCGATTCTGCTTGAACAAAAAGCGTGCAGCTTGAGGGATATCTGTTGCAGGGTAATGAAGCCCTAAGTAGGGCTCTAAATCCTCCCTTCTAATCTCTGAAACTACCTCCCCATGCTCATCATCGTGGAACTTATACACCATAACCCTGTCAAACCCCGTAAGCCTCTGCACATCCTCCACAACCGTGTCACATAAGACACCTATATCGCCACCAGGTAGTGACTGTAACCTTGAGATTGCTTGAACAGCAAGTTTTTGAGACTGAACGGCACCAGCCCTCGAGAATGCAGGATCACTAGACCTTGCAGGCTCTAGATCAATGACAATCCCAACATCTACCCTGTGCAGTACAGCATAGAAGGGCTTGTTTGTAACCCTGGAGTAAACCCAAACAGGGTTTAGAAAAGAAAGCTCTCTGGCAGCAGCAGCACTGGCCAATGAAGCTCCCGAAGGAGGCGTGAAAAGGGTCCTAGCATCCGTTCCAATCAAACCCATTTCCCCTCTCGACACAATTTCAGAAGTTGAACCCAAACCCAACAAATCAAAGCAGTTCTCGCTGTACCCAATGATCCCAAAACTCCCCTCTTCGACGGCGAGCATACAGCCAACCGGCTGAATGAAACCGCCCCTTTGGATTTTGGACAGGTAAATAGCAATCTGTTCCTCGGGAACAGACTGGGGAGGGAAACGAACTGATTTAGAGTAGTTAAACGACGAGCTAGACCTACCGGAACGCTCGAATTCGGCGAGAAGGCCGGCGTCCGCGCTGAACTGGGCAAGGGTTGCTTTCCCCTTCTTGGCATCGTTGATCGTCTTCATGTTGCTCGCCGCCGATGACGAAGACGCAGCGGCAGCGGCAGCGGCGGCGGCGGGGGAAGCTCCACTCCGTCTTTGCTTGCTGCTGCTTTCGTCTCTGTGAAGTCCCATGGTGGAGAATGATTGAGTGGAAACGAAGCGGGATTTATGCTTGCTCTGATGTAGTGGTGGTGGTATCTGGAGAGTGTTGGGAGATATTTTGGTTTCGCCCTCAATTCATGGTGGAGAAGAAGGAGCAGGAGCAGGACGGGTAGCTGGGGCTTTGTCACCATCATCATCGCTTCTCCGTACTTCCTTTTGATTGGTGGCGTTGTTTCTTTGTGGCCATTGAATTGAAATTGATGATATTGCCGCTTCCGCTTTGTACCTTTCGTGCCTGGTCACTGTCGTGGATTTGTCCGGTCCCTGGGATTCGGATTCTTTCTGTTAAGGAAGACCGAGTCTCACGCCTTCTCCCCCATTATCTCCACTACTGTTATTCTGTTCCTAATATCACTCCCACTACTATCACCGATTTTGTACCAATCTTGTATAAATTGATTACTTCTCATCAATAATAAACACAGAGAATTACAGCTTCTACATGGTATCAGAGCTGCCCAGCCTAACGGCACATTAGTTTTTTTTCCCAGCCCCAATTCTCCTCGTCTGCTTCCCCTGTCTTCTGCACTATGTCGACTTCTTCATCTTCCTCCTCTGACACCACAGGTCCTTCCCCCACCTCTGCTCCCTCTCTTTCTCCCTTCAATCCTCCCTCGGCCCCTCACATCTCCACCAAACTCACCTCCACAAACTATCTCCTCTGGCAAATGCAGCTCCTTCCTCTCCTTATAAGTTTCGATCTCTCCAAATTTGTTGACGGCAGCTCTCCGGCACCGCCTCGAACCCTCGCTGACGGTCAAGCAAATCCTGCCTATCTCACTTGGCGTCGCCTTGATTCCCTTGTCTTCTCCTGGATTGCTGGCTCCCTCTCCGACTCTGTTCTATCCCGTCTGGTTGGCTGCTCAACGGCCCTCGACGCCTGGACGCGGCTCGCCTCCACCTACGGCTCCGGAAATCGTCAAACCTTGCGCGGTCTGCGCACACAGCTCGGGGAGCTCTCTCGTGGTTCTGATTCCTGTGCTCAGTATCTGGCTCGTGCTCAAGATATTGCCGATCGTCTTGCTGCCCTCAACAGCCCGATTACCGACGATGAACTGGTCGATCGGTGCCTTCGTGGCCTCGGCGACGAATTCCTCCCCTTTGTTCGCACAATCGAAACAAAGCTGGAACCCATCTCCTTTGATGATTTCTCCGGCCTCCTCCTCAACGAAGACCAGCGCCTCCGCCGTCGGGGTCCTTCCTCTGAAAATGGCGCTGCTCACGCACACTACAGCCGCTATGCTGGTCGCGGCGGACATCCCTCTTCTGGCGGTCGTGGCCGTGGACGTTTTCCAGGCCGTGGTCGCGGTTTCAGGCCCAGCGGCGGTGGCCGCTACACTAACCCTTCTGTTTTGCCTTCTTCATTTACAGGGCCAGGTTTCGGTGCTGGGCTCCTTGGGCCCAGGCCCACTCCCCCATCACAGCATCAATCAAGCGGCCTGCTCCAATGCTTTACTTGCCATGGCTATGGACACCTTGCCAAACACTGCCCAAATCCCTCTCTCACATCCCGTTATACCCCGTCCACCAATTATGCATCCTCCTCCCACTCCCAAGATTGGATAATGGATTCCGGATCTAATTATCACATCACCTCCGATCTCAACAATCTCGCCCTTCACTCCGAATATAATGGGCCCGACGAAGTCACTTTTGGAAATGGTAATTCTCTTCCCATCACTCATTCTGGTTCCTCTCTTGCCTCCGTTAATCATCACCCTTTTCATCTCACGAATATTCTACATGTTCCTTCTGCCTCTCAAAATTTGTTGTCTATCAATTCCCTCACTCGTACTAATCCTCTGTCTATTCATTTTGTTAATGACTCTTTCGTCATCAAGGACTCCCGCACCCAGAAAATCCTTCATCAGGGTCGCAGTAAAGATGGCTTATACTCGGTGCCCCTTTCCATTCTCTCTCAAGTGGCTCCGCGTGCATTTCACTCCACCCTCGCCCAGTGGCATCAACGTCTTGGTCACCCTCACTCACGTGTTCTCCGTCAAGTCATTCACCACAATTCTCTGCCTGTTTCCAATAAACAAGAATTTCATTTGTGTCATGGTTGTAGTGTTGCCAAAATACACAAACTTCCCTTTACTCCTTCCACTTTCATCGCCTCTGGTCCTCTTGATTTGATTTGTAGCGATGTCTGGGGCCCTGCCCCTGAACTCTCTGTCGATGGCCATCTTTATTATATTCTTTTCTATGATCATTTTAGTAAATTCACTTGGATATTTCCCACTCGTCACCGTTCCAATCTTCTCTCTATCTTTATCACCTTCCGCACTCATGTGGAGAAATTCTTCGACCGCCCCATAAAAATTTTCCAAGCCGACTGGGGTGGCGAGTATCAAAAATTAGGCGCCTATCTCAAAGAACATGGCATCCTCCACCGCTCCTCTTGTCCATACACTCCCGAACAGAATGGTTGCGCCGAACGCAAACATCGACACATTGTCGAAACGGGCTTGGCTCTTCTTCACCATGCCTCGGTCCCACTCAAATTCTGGTCGTACGCATTCGATACTGCCACTTTTCTCATCAATCGAATGCCCACCCCGCTCCTCGCCAATCGCTCTCCCCTTGAAATACTCTATTCCCAGCAGCCGGATTACTCGAGTCTTCGTATTTTTGGTACCCTCTGTTACCCTTGGCTTCGTCCCACTACTCGTCATAAACTTCAACCTCGCTCTACCCCGTGTGTATTCCTCGGCTACAGTTCAACACACAAGGGCTATCGCTGTTACAATCTTACAACCCACAAAATTCATATTTCTCGTCACGTCCTCTTCGATGAAACCATCTTCCCTTTTGCTGAGACCAAGTATATTCAGCCCCCTCACTCTTCTTCTTCGCCCACCAGTGCCTCGTCGGGCCCCGCTCCTCTACCCCTACCTGTCGACCTCTTCCTTTCCCGTTCTCACACCCCATCTCACTCACTGCCCAAACCCACACCCCCAACCCAGCCACCCCAGCCCACAGCCTCATCCCTTGTCCCTTTTTCACCTCGGCCCACTAGCTCCCCTCATCCACCCATCCCGCCTACCTCCCCAAATCAGCCCACTAATTCCCTTGCACAACCCATCCCGCCTACCTTCCCAAATCAGCCCACCAATTCCCTTGCCCAACCCATCCCAGCAACCTCCCCCAATCGGCCCACAGCCATTTCTCCCTCTCTCAACCGACCCTCTGCCCGGCCCATTGTTCCCCTACCAGCGAGAACCAAACCTCGCAGCCAGCGCTCTCGTCCTCCTGCCTCCGCCGTTCCGCCTCCACCATCTCGACCCACGACTTCTATCGCCCAACCACCCCGTCGACCCCCTTCTCACCCACCGACTCATCCACCGCCTTCCCATCATATGCGCACCAGATGTAAAACGGGTCACTTAAAACCCAAAACTTTCCATTCATCCTCCAACCCTCTCCCCGCCATTCCCAGAACAGCCAAACAAGCTCTGCAAGACCCTCTTTGGCGCGCCGCGATGCTGGAGGAGTATAATGCTCTGCTCCGAAATCAAACCTGGCTCCTAGTACCTCCTGCCACTGATCAGAATCTCATCTCCTGCAAATGGATTTTCCGAATCAAGACTCGCCCCGACGGCTCAATCGAGCGGTACAAAGCCCGTCTCGTCGCTCGCGGCTTCCAGCAACGTCCCGGCATCGATTTCGGCGAGACCTACAGCCCGGTCCTCAAGCCCACAACTCTTCGGCTCATTCTTTCTCTAGCTGTGTCCCAGAATTGGCCTGTGCGTCAATTAGACATCGCCAATGCATTCCTCCATGGAAGCCTCTCTGAACCTGTCTTTATGCAACAACCGCCAGGATTTGTCGATCCAGCTCGCCCGCACCATGTCTGTCATCTCCGCAAGTCCCTGTACGGTCTCAAACAAGCACCCCGGGCCTGGTTCCATTGTCTGCGACAGGCCCTCGAGTCCTATGGTTTCCACGGGTCCAAGACCGATCCATCATTGTTCATTCTCTGCCGCGGCGGAATTCGCCTCTATGTCCTCGTCTATGTGGACGACATTCTACTTACTGGGAATCAAGGCTCCGCTCTGGATTCTCTTCTTTTGTTTTTGCAGGGTCGTTTTGCTGTTCGCGACCTCGGACGCCTCAACTACTTTCTCGGCGTTCAGGCAAACTGGACTCCCGAGGGTCTTCTGCTCACACAACAGAAGTACATACAGGCCATTCTTGATCGCGCCAAAATGAGTGATTCCAATTCCATCTCCACCCCTGCTGCCCCAGTCCCGAAGGAACCCGATCAGACACCGTTCGGCGATCCCTCTTTGTATCGCCAGATCGTCGGCGCTCTTCAATACCTTCAGTTCACTCGACCAGATATCTCACAGGCAGTCAATTACACTGCCCAGCATATGCATCAACCATCACAGCAACACTGGTCCGATGTTAAGCGAATTCTGCGCTATCTCAACGGTACTTCTACGCATGGACTCTTCATCAGCAACACTTCTCCACTACTTCTCACAGGGTACTCTGACGCGGCATGGGCAAATTCAGTTTCTGATCGCCGCTCAACAACTGGGTATGCTGTCTACCTTGGGTCCAATCTCATTTCCTGGTCGTCTCGCAAGCAGCGCACCGTTGCACGCTCATCAACCGAGGCGGAGTACAAGGCCTTAGCCACTGTCGCTGCTGTCAAGAACCAGTTGATCCCAATAACTCGAGTTGTTGGGAGAGGTTCAATCGTGGATCATATTCCACAACACTAACACGCCCCCTCAAACGAAAGCCACTCACAAGGGCTTGAAGTTTGCACAGGTCTGAAGACAAGAATACCATGTGCTTAACAAATGGGGTCACCAGGAATCGAACACAAGACCTCTCGGTCACAGAAGGCTCTGATACCATGTCAAGAACCAGTTGCTCCCAATAACTCGAGTTGTTGGGAGAGGTTCAATCGTGGATCATATTCCACAACACTATCTCACCGCCAACCCGGTCTTTCACAATCGCAGCAAACACATGGAAATTGACTTCCACTTCGTACGCGAACGGGTAGCTGCTGGTCGTCTTCTAATTCGTTACATCTCTACTGAAGATCAGATTGCTGATCTACTCACAAAGCCACTACCGCGACAGCGTTTTCTGCATTTCAGGAACAAGTTGAAGGTTCACCACCATCAACTTGCGGGGGCGT